CGCAGGGGGCGCTGCAGTCGACGCCGTGAGTACGCCTTTCCTCCTCCATGCCGCAGGGGGCGCTGCAGCCGACGCCGTGTGTACGCCTTTCCTCCTCCCTGCCGCAGGGGGCGCTGCAGTCGGCCGCCCGGACCCGCCAATCACCAAGCGCCTCGCTTCCGCTTCCTTTGTGACGTCGAATGCCAGCGCCGGAAGTGTGCTGTGCGGCCTGTCGGCGGTAGTTGAACGACGCCATGGGAGAGGGTCAGAGCCCTGCTCCCGAAAGGGAGATTAAGGTGATTTTGGAGGGAGTTACGGGGATGGGGTATGGAGGAGAGAGAAGGGAAAGGGATAAAGGAGGGATGGGGGTGGGAGAAGGGAATTTGGGGGGGGGGGGGAAAGAAAGGAATGGAAAAGACGGGAGAATGGGGAGGGAATGGAGGAGGAATGGGGGAAATGAAAGGAGGAGGAACAGGGGAAGGGGAGGAGTGTGATGGGGAGGACCCCCGAATGGGATGGAGGGGATAAGGAAAAGAAAGGAGGAAGTGAAGGCATTGGGGGAAGGGGGGAATAGGGATCTATCTCCCAGCTCTGTCATCACTTAATGCCCCTGAAATTCTCTTTGTAACCTCCTTGTCAGATCTCTCCCAACTTAGCATCGAATCCTCACCGTGTGGACAAAGGCCAGTCGGCCCATTGGGTCTGCTCTGACCCTCCGAAGAGCATCCCATCCAGACAAAACCCCATAACCTCACATTTCCCATTGTATACAAAATACCGTGCAAGGACTGTAAGAAACACTACATAGGCCAAACCGAAAGAAAATTGGCTGTACGGATATACGAGCACCAGCTAGCCACCAAGAGATGCGACCAATTCTGACTTACCTCACTACACATGGACAATGAGAGACATGAATTTGACTGGGACAACACATCGACAATCATACAAGCCAAACAGAGACATGCCGGGGAATTCCTGGAGGCTTGGTATTCCAACCGGAACTCCATCAACAAACACATTGAATTAAACAAAAACCAAAAGAACTGCGGTTGCTGTAAATCAGGAACAAAAACAAAGTTGCTGGAAAAGCTCAGCAGGTCTGGCAGCATCTGTGGAGGAAAAAACAGAGTTAACGTTTCGGGTCCAGTGACCCTTCCTCAGAACTTCTGGTCACCGGACCCGAAACGTTAACTCTGATTTTTCCTTCATTGAATTAGACCCTGTGTACAAATCACTGAGAAACAAAACCGGAAATAATACCAACCACCCCAGCAAACTGAGGCATATAAATAACAAGTGGGACAGAACACCGACGCTTCACTGGAGGCGCACTGACAATGTTACCTAGCACGGTGACGAAAAGTTTGTAACCAAACCTTGGCAAGCATGTCTACAACCTCATATTTCCCATGATTAACTCCACACAGACAGTCGCGCAAGGCTGAATCGAACCCAGGTCCCTGGCGCTGAGGGGCAGCAGTGCTAACCATTGAGCCACCCACTCATTCCCTGTCAGGAATCTTTCAGTATTTTTCCTGTGAGCGCTGTGATCGTTTTCTAGCTCAAGATGATGTTTGTCTTGTTTTGTTTTGTGACGATATTTCACTTAAGGTACTGAGGAAGTAAATGTTCTGCTGCACCTTTGTTACACAGTACTTCAGTACAGAAGGATGCCATTAGGCCCATCATGCCTATACTTGCTAATTCCCATGACCTTGCAAATGATTTCCCTTTGAGGATTCATTCAATTCTGAATTTTGTTTTACTTTTGTTGCTGTATACGTGGCACTATATCGGAGTTCGATTTTTCTATAGGTTTGTTTGTGACCTTTTGTTTAATGACTGGATTCTGAAAGCTGCTTTGTGTAACTTACCTCCACAGAATTTCCACTTCCGTCAGATGAAGAAAATCCGAATCTTCAATTCTCCGGACGAGTTGCCGAAGGACAGGGTGAATCTCCTGACCTTGTCCAATGTTTATGGACTAATCTTTATGGGAGGGAAGACTGGCCTGAAGATACTCAACACCCAATACCTAAACATGGTTGACCAGGGCGAGGGGAACATTAATACAATTGGTATGTCTATTTTGTACCTTAATCATTCATTCCTTTGGTTAATGCCTGCAGGCTTCTTCAATCAATCTTTCCTTAGTCTTGGTCTTCAATTTCAAACCATTGTATTGACCTAAGAGGAAGTGGGTTATTATAAGTTCGGCCCATTGAACTGGCTCCTCCATTCAATTAGATTGTGGCTGATGTGTTTGTGGCCTCAATTCCACTTTCCTCTGTGGCTTCACCTTCAATAACCAATTATCAAGGAGATGTTACATAATCTGTCATCAGGGGCCCTGCTGGTGCAGTGGTAGTGTCCCTGCATCTGAGCCAGAAGATAGGTTGAAGCCTCACTTGCTCCAAAGGTGTCATAATGTGCCTCAAAGGATTGAATAAGTATTTGCATAAACTAGCAATGTATTGCCAGCACTATAGCTTAGTAAGAGTGGATTTGCTTGTGTCATTTAACATTTTGAAAGAAATTGTTGAAATGCATGGGAACTTTTGTCACCAGTTGGAGAGTGTCAGACAAGCTTAAAATTCTGCATTGGATTTGGGAACGACACCTTCATTTAGGGTTATAGAAGTGTGGCACCCTCTCCTTTAAGAAGCGGAGGGTGATGTGGGTCAGTTAATGGTTTGAAATGAGATCAAAAGACTTCCACTAGATAAGTAGGGAAATATGTGGAGTTAAAGAATGGACCAACCAATTTCTCATTCCGTGGCTGAATGGTTTCCTGTGCTGATGTCCTCTGATTATCACCCTCTTGTGTGTCTTTGGAGAAGAGGTTAATTAATTGAATTTAAGTCCCCCGCTGTCTGTCCTGATGGGAATTGAGCTAGTATTCGGCCTGGTGTCTGGATTATGAGCTGAGTAACACGACCACAGTGCAGCTGTCTGGCTGGTGCGTGCCTGTATCTAAGCCTGGTCCCGTTCTCTTGTTACAGTCGAAGATCCTCCTGTCATGACAGTCAATATGAAGCTCCCAGTGCACCACATTGGCCTGAGCTGTGACGATTTCACCTTGTCTGTTGCCATGACATCAGAGGAATATGGGCTGGTCATTGCCTTTTTTGACGTACGAACATTTTTGAACAAGGTGAGTGCTAATTTTTTTCGATAAGCATCGTAGGTTCGTTGCTTGGCATTTGAAAGCCTTGGCTGTCCCTTAGTGTGGAGTTCACCCGGGGTTCTATGGTGAAGGATATTGACCAACTTAGCAGACTGATTCCTGCCCTTCCTTAGAGAGTGCTGTGAGATCTTTAACATCCACCCGGACCATTGGCAGGTATCTCTGTTTATCTGTCTCTGACAGTACAACACATACCCACTAAACTCTCAGCTGAGGGTGGGTGCTGGAATGGGATTTGTGCACATGAACCTCTAATTCCAGAAGGGAGAGAAACCGCAGCCAAACTCTTGGCAATCCTCCCCTAGGATTATGGGGTGAAAGACCTTCAGAAGGTTTCAAAGCTGAGATTTGTGGATTTTGGTCAGTAAGAATTTTAAAAGTTAATGAACCAATGGAACCAGATGGAGTTAAAGTACAAATCGGAAAAGATTAATTGAGAAACGATACATGTTCAAGGGTCTTAATGGACTCTTCCTGCTCCTTGAAGCCAAGGTTTGCTGGCTTTTAGAAAGGAGAGCATTTAACAAAATAAAATTTGTGACTTTACTTTAGCTACATTGAATATATTGTTTCACTTGCAATTTTCCTCTTGTTAATTTTTCCTCATGATGTTGGAACATTCAACGTTCCCACTCTACACTTAGGAAATTGGAGCAGAAGTAGAGTATTTGGCCATGGGTGATCTGTTTGTGTTTAGGATACACATTCCCATCTACAGCTAATAACACTCAGTTCCCCTGCCAGGCGAAAATTTATCCACCTCTGCTTTAAAACCTTCACTGACTGTGCCCCCACAGTTTCTGAGGCAGAGAGTTCCAAAAATGCACAGCCCTCAAAAAAATGTTACCCCAACATCATCAGCTTTAATTTTCCGTAACAGCTTCGATGGGGCAGCTTTTCAAATACCTTCTGGAAATTCAAGTACAGTACCTCTACTGGCTCCCCTTTATCCACTGCGTATGTTAAAGAACTCCAATTAATTGGTTAAACATGATTTCCCTTTGACAAAACTATACTAGCTGTTCCCTGTTTCGGATTTTTTGAAGTACGCAGCTATAATCTCTTTGATTGATTCTAATACCTTGCCCACTACAGACATCAAACTATCATTCTGCCTTCCTCCCTCCTTGAAAAAAAGAGTTTGTACTTGCTACTTTCTGGTCTCATTGAGCCTTCCCTGATTCTAGGGAGTTTTGGAAAACTAATACCAGCACACCTACTACCTGTCTAACAATCATGTTTAACACCCGAGGATGAAATCCATCCGAATGTGGAGACTTATCAGCCCATAGTTCCATTGTAATTTCATAATGTTTCTCTCCCCCTTCCACCTCTTAATTTGAGCTATTAATGGAACATTTTTTGTATCTTCTCTGGTGAAGACAGAAGCAAAACATTGGCATATTTAATCCATCATTTCCTGATTATCTAATATTAACTCCCCCTTCTCTCTCTGTAGAGCACCAGCATTCACTTTATTTATTCAATTCTTTTTTAAATAACTGTAGAAAGTCTTGCTATCCATTTTTACTTTCCTAGCCAGCTTCCACTCAAACTCTAATTCTCTTCCTCCTGATTAACCTTGAAATCATTCTCTGCCATTCTTATGATCTCTACTTCTCTTTGAGCAGATATGTACTTTCTCCACAAATTTGATGATTTTCCTAACTTTAGTTAATTGTGGATGTTAAATTCATTCAAGAGATGTGGGTGTCGCTGGCTGGGACAGCATTTATTGCCCATCCTTAGATACCCTTGAGCAGGTGGTGATAAGCTATTGTCCTGAACCATTGCAGTCCATTTGGTGTAGGCACATCCACAATACTGCTAGGGAGGGAGGTCCAGGATGAAGGAACAGCGATATATTTCCAAATCAGGATGGTGAGTGGTTCGGAGGGAAAATTGCAAGGGGTGGTATTCCCATGTCTCTGTTGCCTTTGTCCTTCTAAGTGGAAGTGGTTTTGGTTTGGAAGGTGCTGTCCAAAGAGCTTTGGTGAATTTCTGCAGTGCATCTTGTAGATGGTACACACTGCAGCTCCTGAGCATCGTTGTTGGAGGGAGTGGATGTGGTGCCAGTCAAGCAGGCTGCTTTGTCCTGGATGGTGTTGAGCTTCTTGAATGTTGTTGGGGCTGCACCCATCCAGGCAAGTGGGGAGTATTCCATCAAACTCCTGACTTATGCCTCATAGATGGTGGATCGGCTTTGGAGAATTGGGAGGTGAGTTCCTCACCACAGAATTCCTAGCCTCTGGCTATGGCAAAGCTGTAGCATTCCCTATCTGAACTACTATAATGTCAGATGTGCCATAAAATCTATCCCATTTTTGAATTACGAGCAACTGAAATGCAATTATTTGTATACGGAGGACATTCATTGAGGTTTCTGTTGAGCATATAGAGAGCCACTTACAGACACGTGTCAGTGGTTGAGTTAGGAGGTCTGTGCTTGTAATGTTTCAGTCTGTTGCATAAATATTACACTGAGTGAGTGTGATTCAGAGTCAAGTTTTGTCAGATTGCACACCAGTGAAGCACCTGTTGGTCACCTGTAGGATTGAGCCCACAGATATTAGCATATCTTTGCTCCAAAGTTGTGTGCTCCATAAATGCAAGTTTCTTTTTTGTTGCAGGACAAACAGCAGAAGCGACCGTTTGTGTACTACAAGCCAGAGAAAAAGTGCACAGTGACCGATTTGAAATGGAATCCGGCAGTGAACTGTATCCTGGCCATCTGCATGTCTGACGGAAGCTTGACCATACTGGAAGTTACTGACATCATTAAGCAGCATGCCTCCCTTCCTCCCGCAGCTGATATTACTTCATGTAGGTATTGCTACGGTTACACAGGATCCATCGCTGTGCACAGGAACAGAGTGTGCTGCCTAGTTTGTATATCAGGGCTCATGTAATTGTCTGTGTGGGATCTAAAGAGATATGGTCCTGCCTGATGTTTTCGTAGGAGGAGGTGGTGGCGTTGTTCCACTGGACAAGTAATACAGGGCCCAGGTCAGTGCTCAGGAGCTGTGGATTCAAATGGCCCCCCAGCAGCTGGCGGAGTTTACATTCAGTTGCGAAGTTTGCAATATCAGGCTAACAGTGACCATGAAACTGCGATCCATTGTTGTAAATACCAATCCCACCTGCTTCACAAATGTCACAAACCTGCTGTCCCTATTCACTTTAACCTGCACATGACTCCAGATCCAGTGCAATGCAGTGTACTCCTAACTGACCTCTGAAATGGCCCAACAAGCCACTTGCGGCAAGGGCCAATTAGGGATGGACAGCAAATGTTGGCCTTGCCAGCGACAGGCTGATGCCACGAATAGCTAAAAGGGGAAAATGCCAATCTGTGGGCTTGTTGTGTGGCCTCCATCCTGCTGCTGTCCTCCTGCTCTCTCAGGAATATGCTGCTGTGGCTGGGCTGGGGAACCAGACCGTCACCGGAGATTTCACTATGTGCCTCTCTCTGTCTCCTGATATTTCCTTTAGTGTGCTGGAGTCCGAAAGGGAAGCAACTGGCTGCCGGTCGAAGGAATGGGACAGTGGTTCAGTACTCACCGGTAAGTTCGGTGGATTCTTAATTATTCATTTTCAAGTGCTTTCTTGTTCTCACTGCTCCCTATCTCTGCTCCTCGCCATCTCTGCATCACTTCCGGTGCAACAATCCCCTGAGATATCAGTGTTCCACCAATTCTGGCCTTCGGTGTTGATCATTCCAGGGTTGGTGGCTATGTCTTTGGTTACTTCGGCCCTAAGCCTTGGAATTTTCTCCGTATATGTGTCCTGCATAGTCCTTAAATCTGGTGTGACACATGCAATCTCCTGTGATTTCATGTCATGCTTTATTCTGATATTATTGTTGTGAAATGTCTTGGGATTTCTTTATTCCATAAAAGGCCCTTTATAAATGCAAATAATTGGCATGGCCGAATGCTTCACTGGAGATGGGAATAGTTTGGATCAGTTTAAAACTGGCATTGAGTTCTGCTGATGTTATAGTGGCACGAGCATTGGGCACAGCACTGTTAGGAACATTTGACGCCTGAGAGCAAAATTCGAAAGATTTTGGCTATTTCCCCATCACAAAAGTCACTGCCCTTCAATTGGTGGGGAAACAATGGAGCAGTGATATTATCACTGGACTAGTAATCAGAGAGTCAGGTAACGTTCTGGGGACTTAGGTTCAAATCTGAATTCAGTACAGATCTGGCTTTAAAAGTCCAATGACCTTGAAACCACTGTTAATTGTCATAAAGACCCAACTGGCTCAGTGATGTCCTTCAGGGAAGGAAATCTGCCATCCTTGCCTAAATGCATCTCCAGACCCACGCCAACTTGGTTGACTCTAAACTACCCTCTAAAATGGCACAGCCAACCACTGAGTTATATCATTCGCTGGAAAGTCTCAAAACAGGAATGGTGGTCAGTCTGGCATTGACAAAGTCACCAAAACTGAGAACGGCAAATACAGCCCAGTTGATCCCTGCCAAGTCCACCTCATCATCGTCTGGGGGCACATGCCAAAATTAGGAGAGCTGCCCCACAAGCTAGTCACGCAACAGCCTGATGTAGTCATACTCACAGTCTCACCTTACGCATCAGGTCCTAGATGCCACCATCTCCATCCCTAGGAAGTGTCCTGACCTGCTGGCAAGACCAGCCCAGCCCAACTGGTGGTACAGTGATGCACAGTTGGGAGAGGTATTTTTTCCTATTCATTTTGTGGGACATGGGCGTCGCTGTATGGCCAGCATTTCTTGCCCATCCCTAGTTGCCCTTGAGAAGGTGGTGGTGAGCTGCCTCCTTGAACCGCTGCAGTCCGCCTGCTGTGGGTTGACTGACAATGCTATTAGAGAGGGAATTCCAGGATTTTGACCCAGCGGCAGTGACGGAACGGCGATATATTTCCAAGTCAGGATGGTGAGTGACTTGGAAAGCAACTTGGAGGTGGTGGTGTTCCCATGTATCTGCTGCCCTTGTCCTTCTAGAGGAAGTGGTCGTGTGTTTGGAAGGTGCTGTCTGAGGATCTTTGGTGAGTTTCTGCAGTGCATCTTGTAGACAGTACACACTGCTGCTACTGAGCTTCGGTGGTGGAGGGAGTGGATGCTTGTGGATGTGGTGCCAATCAAGTGGCTGCTTTGTCCTGGATGGTGTCAAGCTTCTTGAGTGTTGTTGGGGCTGTTCTCATCCAGGCAAGTGGGGAGTATTCCATCACACTCCTGACTTGTGCCTTGTAGATGGTGGACAGGTTTAGAGGAGTCAGGAGGTCCTCAACATCAACACCAGGCCCCATGATGTCTTGTGGTATCAGGTCAAACGTGGTCAAGAAAACCTCCTAATTATCATATACGTTAGTGCAACTCCCCTCAGTGCTCTCCACTTGGAGGAAGCACTGAGGGTGGAGAGGGCGCAGAATATACTTTCGGTGGGGGACTTCAGTATCCACCACCAAGAGTGGGGTCTGGGGGATGGGGGAGTGGGGGTTCGCACTTGTCATTGCTGATGTGGCAAGGTGATCAAGGATGGGCAGAAGGTGGTGTGATGGCCTGGGGTTGTGGGTTGATGCAGGAAGTTGGAGCTGAAGTACAAAAGATATGATCTTCCTAAACACGGGGAGGAATTACTCCGCTTACTCTCATCTTTCCAATTGGAAAACATTGAGGTCTTTTCTTACAGGTTCTTCAAGAAAAGAAGATCATCCCATGCCCCCCCTTCTACACTGCAGACAATCCAGTTAAAGGTATGAAGTGTGTAATCTGAGGATTGTGTGCTATTCGGTCCATCTTTGCTTTGCTAGCTCTTTGACACAACATTTGATTAATTCCACTCTTCCCACAGCCCTGCACGTTGCCCCTCTGGTTTTTATTCCAGTTTCCTTTTGAAAATTATCAAACCAGCTTCCACTGCACCTTTTGGGTGGCTAATTCCGGATCATAATTCGCTCTTGTGGAAAAGAGCTGCTATATACTGCCATATACTTATTTGAACGATACACCCTGACATGGCCTTGATTATCCAGATAGTCTCCTGCATGCTGTAATGAGTGTGACATTAAATCTGTGTCCCCCAACCTGCAAGTGAAGATATTTCCTGCTGGTTAACTTGATCAAAACCCTTTGAACGCCTTGATTAAATTTCCTGATGACCTTCCCAGTTTCAAGGAGAACTTTAATTGAATTAAATTAGCTTTATTGTAACATAAACTGACATGAGTAACGTGAAAAGTTTACAAATCACCACGTTGATAATATTACTAGGCCATCTCTTCTTCACCCTCCCCAGGACCTGGCTGTTCTTCCATTTTAATGGTCAGTTTGTAATCCTCGAGCTGGGGCCTGCTCAGAGAATTATTGAAGTTGCATAATGTATGCCCTGTCATTTGTTAATAAAACCCAGAACTCCAGCGGCTTTTATTTTAAGTAATATCAGCCTGTCTTGCCACCTGCCCAGTTATCTCTGCTCTTGTAAATTCTCATTTAAAATTGTCCCATTGAGTTGGCAGGGCTCACTTAGTAAAGTGCCCTGACCCCTAATACACTCAGGTGTCACAATGGTTAAAGATTTAATCAAATCACACACAGTCTGCAATTTACCTGTCTGATAAATTCAGGTTAACAGGAAACACTGACTGGGTTTCTGTCCTTAATAAGTAACTGCTATTTTATACAAAGAAATCAATCTTGCTAATTATAGGCAAACAAAACTGTGAATTATTAACATATAACTCTGCTAGCTAAAGCAATGACCCTGTTCTTAAATTTCTCCTCTCTCTCTCCCCCCTGCTCTCTCATTCACTGACGCACACACACACACACACACTTGGATGTAATGGATGGAGAGATACAAAACACTGGGGAAGCACAGTTCAATAGCACCAGACCACAGGATAGCGTGAGACATCTTTTTTGCTTCCCAGATCCTCCTTATTGCTGATCTTATTATTTGCGTTCTTTAGTTCTTTACTGCAGAGGCAGGGCAGTTGGTACACTGACTGTTGTCTTACAGTGACTGGTTAGAGGCAGCAGCTTACAGCAACTGGTGGGAGAGAATAGTAAGCTATCTTCCAGGTTTTGGTTATTTCACTGCACAGACAGGGAAAGAATCTTTCTCTGTAGCAGCCTGGAGATCTGTGCCCTTTGATTTAATTTGATTTGATCTATTATTGTCACATGTACCTAGGTACCGTGAAGGTTTTGTTTTGTGTGTAATACAGGTGGATCATACCATACAAAGTGCATTAGGGTAACAGAGCGAGGAATACAATATTATGGCTGCAGAGAAGGTGCGCAAAGAGCCAGATCAACGTTAAATTTAACAATTTGAGAGGTCCATTCAGAAGTCTAATAACTGCGGGGAAGAAGCAATCCTTGAATCTGTTGGTTTGTGTGTTTAAGTTGGTTTGTGCCCCTGTATCATTCTCACTCTCTGTCACCTTCTGTTGAGTTGCCTGTTGTGCTGTTGACCCTTCATCTCTATAACTGGTCTTAGTTGTACAAACCAACCAGTATTCTGTCTCTGGGTGAGGCTTGCTGTACACACACCCATAGTGTCGTGGCATCCTGGATGTCTGGAATCTCTCCACCACCACCACCTCTCGAGCCTCAACACACGCATGGAATGAAGCAACAGTGTGAACACAACCCCCCGTGAATTCCAGTCACTTGTCTTTGAAAGTGCAACAACTCCTTACATAGTCCTTGGTTTAAAGTAGTTCTCCTCCCATTTTGGACCACAATCCAAGATAAAGAAAAAATGAAAGATTTAGCCTTAGATATTTTAACATGCCCTTCCTTGTTTTTTGTTTTGAAATACATTACTATTAATTCTGTGACAATTCCGTGTTTAAAATCTCTTTGTAACAGAATGCAGACTCTAGGGACCTCTAGTGGCAGGAATAAGTTGTGCAGTGCTGCCACCTTTTAATTTCTACATTTGTTCTGTTACTTTTTTAAAATCAGTAGAGGATCTTTGGGATCATTACCTTGATTCTGTCAGTTGTTGGGACTATCCGATGTGATAAAAGCAGGTAGTGGCTGTTTGGTCCCTCAACCCTGCTATACCATTCGGATGGATTATGATTGCTTTGCATTTTAAACCTTTGCTCCATATCACTTAATACCCTCAATCAATAACAATCCATTGATCTCAGTCTCAGAAAGTCCTTTCACACAGTTTAGACAACAGTCTCCAAGCAAGAATCATTCTCCAGGCTGTGAAGACCACTGACAAGGAGTCAGCAGGTGTTGTGCAGAGTGGGCTTTGGCAGTGTAGTTGGTCACCTTTAGGATTGAGCCCATGGACATTAGCAACACACCTCAGCCACTGGCACAACCAGAAATTGTCATTCATGTCAGAGAAGAGGAGAATTTCTTCCAAGCGTAATCAATCTGTAGAATTCTTTACCACGGTGTGCTGTAGGGGCTGGGTCATTCAGTGTATATATGGCTGAGATTGGCAGACTTTTAATCGGGAAGGGAATCAGGGGTTATGAGGAAAATTCTGAAAAGTGGAGTTGAGGATTATCAGATCGGTGTCAATGACATTGAACAGTAGAACAGATTCGATGGGCTGAAAGGCCTGCTTCTGCTACTATATCTGTGGCGTACAGGACTGTGGCTCAGGGTGGGAAATCTTGTTCAACTGCATATAATTTTACCCACCTCTATAACATTGGCCATTCAAAATACATGCGCTTATGCATATTAGGGGAGGCACAGGCCCCTCAAGGCTGTCATCCAATTGCATCAATTCCACTTACCTTGACATACCTAGTCAGAACAAACCATCGATCATGTTTGACCTTCCTGGTGTTGGTAGCTGATCCCTGCAGAAATACTCGGGGGCAGACCACTGTGCCTTGATCCAAACTTGCAAGCTCTGCGTTGAGCATCACAATGAGGCATCACTAAATCTGAGAGTGATTGAGATGCTGACTGGGAAAGGAATTTCCACGTAGCTGGATCCCGGTAATGGGCAGTTTACGAACCTGTTGGGATTGTTGCTGTTTGATCAGTGGACATTCCTGGTTCCGGTGCATGCTGCCGGCCATGCCCTCCCAGCGGCAGAAACAGAACAGCGAGCATTGAATTTCAATGACGATTCCTCACCACCTCTGACCATGGCAGAGTGCTGTACGGCCAACAGAGTGTAATCACGGTCAGAATGAGGCAAAATGGTGAGACGTTCAAAGATTATGAAACACAATTGAGGACGTTGTAATGGCCGTTCTACCCCCATGAAAGACTGTGCGGGAACTTGTATTGTGTCCAGTTGTGTACCTTGCTGCAACCACTTCCAGCACACACACACACGACTGCCCTACATTTAGGTGCAGTCTTTCTGAGTACTGCTCTCAATTAAAACGTAAAGGTTCACTTGGTGCACAGCAATGCTAACACCTAACAGTCTGGACTGTTTTGACCAGTGGTTCTGTGTGTGGGAGGAGTGCAGGCTCTGTATTTCTAAAGTTGAGACGTTTTCTTTCGGCAGTGTTGGACATCTGTTGGATCAGCACATACGTTTTTGCGGTGGTTTATGTGGCTGCGGATGGATCACTGGAGAGCCCTCCTGAATTTGTGATGGTTTCCCTGGCGGTAGGAGCATGCTTTGATTTTCACACCAGTCTCATGTTTAAACACCAATTCCGCCCCCTCCCCCCCACTTCTTACACAGTCTATTGGGTTAATGGTGCTGTGTGAATGTAAGTCTTCAGCTCAGCTCACTATATCAGAGATGGTGGGGTCAGGTCCCATTCCAGAGAACGAGGCATAAAAATACAAACTCATGCCCCCTTTGCAGTCCTGGGGTGTCCCACTCCATCGGAGCTCCTGTCCTCCAGGTGAGCTTTTAAATGAAGGCTAGAAGTAAAACAAAAAACTGTGGATGCTGGAGATCTAAAACAAAAATTGCTGGAGAAACTTAGCAGATTGGCAGCATCTGTGCGAGGAAAGCAGGGTTGTTAATGTTTCACGTCTGGTGACCTTTCGTCAAAACCCTGATGAAGATTAAATTAGACTTCAAACATTGATTCTGCTTTCTCTCCACACATGCTGCCAGACCTGCTGAGTTTCTCCCGCAATTTCTGATTTTGCTTTAAATGAGGGCCCTATCTGCTCTCTCATGTGGCATCATTTTGAGAAGTTCTGCAGACATTCTCAGCAGTGTCCTGGACAATATTCACCCGTCAACCAATACTGGCTTCAAAAAGCAGCCTAGTCATCTACCAAATGCTGATTGCTGGTCTGACAAATCTAACAAATAGATTATGAGTGACTAAATTTCAAAAGTACTCTATCAACTGCAAAATACTTTGGTGCATCCTGAAATTTTTTCTCCTTTATCTTTTGTCAGGGCGGCACGGTGGCTCAGTGGTTAACACTGCTGCCTCACAGCGCTAGGAACCTGGGTTCAATTCCACCCTTGGGTGACTGTCTGTGTGGAGTTTGCACGTTCGCCCCGTGTCTGTGTGGGTTTCCTCCGGGTGCTCCGGTTTCCTCCCACAGGTGGATTGGCCATGGGAATTACCCATTGTGTTCAGGGATGTGTAGGTTAGGTGCATTGGCTGTGGGGGATTGCAGGGACGGGATAGTAGAATGAGTCCGAGTGAGATGCTCTTCTGAGGGTTAGTGTGAACTTGTTGGGCCGAATGGCCTGTTTCTGCACTAATTATAATTTTGATGGGATTGGGCATTGTTGCCCATGCTGAATCGCTTTGGAGAAGATCATAGTGTCAGAGCTTTTACAGCATGGTCTAAGGCCTTTTGGCCTGTCATGTCCAAGCCTGTCATCAACCATCCATCAATCCTATTCCCATTTTCCAGCACTTGCCCCATAGCTTTGTATTCTTTGTCATTTCAAGTGCTCATCTAAATAATTCTTAAATGTCTTGAGAATTCCTGCCTCTACTATCCTTTTGGCAGTGAGTTCCAGGCACCTACCACCCTCTGGGTGAAAAATATTTTGTTCTGATCAATTCTAACTTTTTGCTCCTTAAACTGTGCCCCCTGGTAATTGACCCCTCTACCAAGGGCAAAATCTTCTCCCTTCCTTCCCTGTCTATGCCCCTGAGAAATTTATAGACCTCAATCAGATCCCCCTCCCCATCAGCATTCAGGAAGTAAGTTTCTTTCTTGAACTGCTGCAGTGCATTTTGTTTAGGTGCACCTATAATGCAGTTGGAAAGGGATTTCCAGGCTTTTTTAGCCAGCAACATTGAAGGAATGGTGAGATAGGTCCACGTGATGATGCTGTTTGACTTGGGGATCTTACAGGCAGTGTTTCCATCTATCTCTTGTTTTTGTCCTGGGTGGTACAGGTGGCAGGTTTGGAAAGTGCTAGCAAAGGACCCTTGTGTTGCTGCATTACATCTTGTCGCTGGTACACACTGCTGTCATTACGGTGACAGAAATCAATGCTGAGGCTGGTTGATGGGATTCTAATCAAACAAGCGTCTGCAGTGTTGAGCTTCCTGAGTGTTGTTGGAGCTGCACCTATCCAGGCCAATGGGGAGTATTCCATCACACATCTGACTTGATGGTGGACAGGCTTTGAGGAGTCAGAATTGCCGGTTTCTGACCTTTTGTAGGAACTAATCTTGAAAGGTACAACGTAAATGTAAGTTTGTTTATTCTTTAATCTGAGGAAACCCTGACAATACTTCACGGAGACATGTGAATCTGGCCAGTATTGCAATGGGGGTTGTGGCGGGATGGGTAAACAAGGTCAAAGGATAGGTTGGTCTGTTCCCCAGAGAAATGGCTGTTGAGAAAGGGACAAGAATGTTAAACTATTGGAGAATTTCTCTTTAAAGAATTGTCACCATTGATTGGCATCCTGAAATGTCTCTCAGTGATGAGTGTTGGCAACGTTTATCACTAAACACCGTTTTATTTGAAAATTTATACACCCTTTGCCCATTGGTGAAAAAAATGAAAGTGTGTTTTAATTTTCAGAAAAAGGATGAGAAACGAGAGGACCAGTTCTTAAACTTTAATGACCTGTGCTTTGGGATATCGTCTGAGAGGCAGCACCGTTACTACATGCACTACATTGAGGAGTGGTACGTTGCATACAGCTTTCATTCACAATGCAAAAAGTAAATGTGCAAATGATAAGTACCTGTGTGCAAGTTACCTGACAGATTTGATTCTGCTGCCAGAAATGATAGGTGCAACTTGTCCCCTGAATCATCTTGTTTTATTAGTGAGCCATCACAGCAGAGCCTGGCTCTAATCATTCCCCCAGCATCCACATGTACAGGTAACTGTGGGAACTGTGACAAGGATTATGAGAGACTTGAAGAGGAGCCATGCTGGTGGAATGGCTGGGCATGTCAGGGATTACGTTTCATGCAAAGAGCTGGGAAGTGACTCATCTTGGTAGAAGCAATGCTTAATAGGCAAAGTGTACAATTTAAAAGGAGCTGCAGCAAGCAGGGTATATAGAGAAGGTGGCAGGACAAGTTGAAATGGCGCAGAAACAGCAGTTTATGATGCTGAGTATAAACGGAGCAAACAGAACTAAAACAAGGGAGATGTGCTGAAACTTTGTAGACCACTGGCTAGGTTTCAACAGGAATATTGTGTCCAATTCTGGGCATCTCGCTTTAGGAATGTTAAAAAGATCCTGGTAGGGCACAGAAAAGATTTGCCTGAATGGTTACAGGGACAAAGGGCTTCTGTTTCCCAGACAGATTGAAGAAGTTAGGATTATTCTGCCTGGAGAAGAGAGAAGGACATTTGATAGCAGTGTTCAGAATCATGAGGGGACTGGACAGAGTTGATAGAAACTGTTCCCATTAATGGAAGGGTCAACAAGTGGAGGGCAACAGATTAAAGTCATTGACAAAAGAACCAGTGGTGACCTGAGAATGATCCTGTTCCCCACAACGAGTGGTTAGTGTCTGGAAAGCACTGCCTGTGTGTGTAGTAAAAGCAGATTCTGTTGTAGCTTTCCAAAGATGATTATCTGAAGAGAAACAATTTGCAATGGGCTGTTGTTTGTCACACCTCTCGTGGCTGTCACTGGGAAGGTCAGCTTTGGTCACCCATCTGTAATGACCCTCAGTTTGAGGGACTCACTTGGCTATTTCAGAGAGCAATGAAGTGTCAGCCGCTTTGCTGTCAAGATGGAGCGATGTGTCAGCCAGACCAGATAAGATATCCTTGCCGTAGGAATATTAGAGGGATACCAGGTGAGGTTTTTCAGGCAATTCATGGTAATGTATGGCCACCATCACCGATGACTGGCTTTCAGTTCTAAATTCATCAATTACTCGAATTCAGATTCCACTGGCTGCCATGGTAGGATATGAACCCATCTCTCTAGAGCATTATCCTGTATCTGTACATTACTCATCCAGTGTCCTTACCACTTCAGCACCACCTTTCTGCTACTATCCAGATGAAATTGGCTGATTTGGAGATTGAAGCTGGGAACAACCACGGAAAGACCCAGTAGACAATACACTCACCTCAGAGCCAGAATGTCCTGGGATTTGGTTCTACTTGACAGCCCTAGTGCAGAGCTCAGACTGACACTTTTAGCACTGAAGTGGCTCTGCACTATTGGAGCTGACGACTTTTAGTGGAGGCTCCATCTGTTCTCTCAGCAAAATACACAAGATCCTGTAGCATTACTTTGAAGAAAGGCAGCTTTCCTCAGCTGTTCTGGCCAATATTCATCTCTTAATCAGCAAGACAAACAGATTATTTGGTCGTTCTTCATTGTTTGTGGGAGTTTGCTGCATCCACATTGACTGCTGCCATCCTTCATTTCGACAGGGAAATGGTGCATAGGCAGGAAACCATTTTGTGGTGGGACCATCTTGAGATGGTGAAAGGCATTCTATAAGTGAATGGGCTCGTTAGGGTCCGGTGGTATGATAACGATAGTACATTGAGCAGCCGTTTTGTAAAATGCATTTCCAAGCTTGGCCAATCTGCAGTAAAAATAAAGTGCTGGAGAAACTCAGTCGAACTGGCAGCATCTGTGGAAAGAGAAACAGAGTTAACATTTCGAGTCCAATGACTTCTCCTCTAGCACCTGCAATATTTTGCTTTTATTTGACTAGTCTGCAGTCCATTTGGCCAGTGAATTACCCAGACTTCTGTTTAAAAACTATTTGACAGTTTGTGTTGAAGATTTTGTTTTGATCTCGCACGCAGTTAAGTTGTGAACAGATTACTGAGCTGCTATCAACAAGTCAGACAGTTGGCATGTGTTTGCAGTGTGGGTCTCTACCATAAATGAACTCACTGTAAAGCAGTTAAAACAGTTCATGTTGAAGTTTTTGGAGAATAAAAGATCATTTAGCTTTAGGGTTGAATGTCAGGAATTTGGATGAGCTTGGTGAAAACTGACTGCTGTTTCTGATTCATGTTGTATTATTTACAGGGATCTTATCTTGGCATCTTCAGCTGCATCTATTGAAGTCAGCATTGTTGCTCGGCAACCGGATAAGGTAACACCACTTCCAAAGGCTTTTTAAACTGGAGTAATCTGTACATTACTAATGAATAGGATCTGGATTTTTAATAATCTCTTCTTTTCTTGGGATATGAGCTTCGCTCGTAAAGCCAATGAAAGCTTTTTCCCCTGTATTTTGTATTTTTACTGTAAAATACACAGGACAATAAAATAAAACTATTCATTCATCCTTTGTTGCTCATCCCTGATTGCCCTTGAACTGAGTGGCTTGATTGCCTGTTAGAGGGCAGTTTGGAATCAGCCATATTGCTGAGGACCTGGAGCCACTTGTGGATCAGATGAGGATGGCAGATTCTCTGCCTGAAAATTACAACAGTTGAAGATAATTGTCATGGTCACCATTACTGAGACTAGCTTTATATTCCAGATTTAGTAACAAAATTCAAATTCCTTCAGTGCCTGTATTGGGGTTTGAACTAGGTCCCCAGGGCTTTAGTTCGGGATCTGGATTACTAACCCAGTAACATTACCATGAGACCACCAAAACATGACCATTTCAAATATGGTGCCAGTGTAGATGCTTGATCCCAGGAGCACAGAGGCACAAACTCTAACAGTAGTGATGTTGGTCAGCAAGACCATTAAAGCACTGGGGTTCACATCTACAGACAGAAGAGTTAGGTCAAACGCGTATTGAAGCTTGGCTAGACCACATCTACTGTATTGTGTGATCAGTCCCTATGTCCCTCTTGACATGAGATAGAAGCACTGGAAATGGTGCAAATAACAGATGTACAGAGGTGATACCACATACTGCTGCATTACACCTGCAAAGGAAGACTGAACAGGCTGGGCCTCAAAAGAGAAGGTTGATTAACTGATGGAGGTCTTCGAAATTGAGAAGTGACAGCTTGGGTTGACAAAGTGACAATGCTTTCACTTGCTGGGAAACCAAAGCGAGGGCCGTAAATATAAGCATTTTGAATAAATCTGAGAGAGAATTCAAAGGAGCATTGCTAACCAAAGCAATTGGGGAGAATGTGGAATTCACCGAATGGCTTGGCTGAGGGAAGTTTGATGGAAGCATGAGTAATAAGGGATTTCAGTGCAATGCTGCTAAGAATTAGATCATGTAGCTGTGAGAAGAGACACGTTTGGAGCTTCAACGATGACTCTTTTACGTGTTGTGCGTTTTCTTAATTCACTTTATGGGAGTGGTCATCGCTGGCTGGGCCCAGCATTTATTACCCAACCCCAGTTGTGCCTTGAGAAGGTGGTGGTGAGCTGCTTTCTTTACATTTTATGCAAGTCTCTGAATATTCTTTGCTTCTCGTTCAGGTCAACTGGGAAGTCTGGGTCCTGGAGGATGCAGCCCGTGCAGAATTCCCTGTGACAGAGAATAGTGATGACACAATGCCAGTTGGTGTTGGTGTAGACATCACCAATCAGCAAGCAATCGCTATAGGTCAGCTTTTCATTCTTGGTTTATGAATTGATATTTAGGAATGTTTTGATCAGTGCATGCCATAAATGTGACAGAGGACACTGGGGTAAATTGTACCCCTTCTAAACAGTGATCTTTTACCGCCAACCTGAGAAGGTGGTGTCTCTGACATTGCTGCACTCCCTGGTACTGAGCATGCCAGCCTTGATTTATTGAAGTCCCTGGGATGGGACTCAGCTTGCACCCTTCTAATTTGGACTGCATGCCATTGAGGTGCACTTCATGGAAGTTAGATTGCAGTTTGCAATAAGAGGATGTAGTGTGTTTTACCAGTTGTGTGTCAAAGCAAAATACAGCTGATTGCTGGAGATATGAAATAAAAATAAATAAAGGAAATACTCACCCAGTCTGGCAGCATGTAGGGACAGAGAAATGCCTCAAGTTCTTGTTTGGGACTCGAGCACTAACCTGCAAGTTTGTGTTCTCTTAAAGCTATAAGACGCATATTATTCAGCATTCAAAAATGAACTGAACTACAGGATGGGTTGATGGTTCTCAACGGGAAACAGGGTTAGAAAGGAAAAGATAATGAAACCAAGATGTGAAGACAGAATTTTGTCCCCCAGTTTAAATTAGTTTGTTTGTTCTTATTTTTATATCTTTTTAACTCCTGTGTCCACATTGCACTTGGAGCTGCCTTTGTGTGAATTTATGATGTCCTGTCAGCAGTGGAAATAATCTGCCAGGGAGCATAAAATAGTTGTTATCGTCGTAGAAAATAAATTATTTTAAAATTCTTATCTTTATTTGAAATGCCTTAATGACTGTACCCTCCTTGTCACTGCAATCTCCTCCAGCACTTGAGCCTTTGCAATTTCTGCTCGTATAATTTGGTCTTTTGAGCATCTCCAGTTGTAATTGTTATACCATTGGCAGCTAAACCTTCAATTGCCAAGGCTCTGAGATTTGGAATTCCCTCCCTAAACATCACCATCTCTCTTCCCTTTCCTTCTTGAAAAGGCTTCTTAAAAATCTGCCTCATGACACAGCTTACTACCGTTAATGATAATTTCCTGGTCACCACTACAGAGAACTTATTAACTGAATTCAAATTCCATCTCCTGCCAGGGTAAGATTTGAACCCCTGGCCCCAGAACATTGTTCTGGAGTACTAGTCCAGATTATTTCCACTGCTGACAGGACATCATAAATTCACAAAGGTAGTTCTAAGTGCAATGTGGACACAGGAGTTAAAAAGATATAAAAATAAGAACAAACCAAACTAATTTAAACTGGGGGACAAAATTCTGTCTTCACACCTTGGTTTCATTATCTTTTCCTTTCTAACCCTGTTTTCCATTGAGAATCATCAGCTCATTCACAGAAACAGGCCATCCAACCCATTCTGTAGTTCAGTTCATTTTGGAATGCTGAGTAATGTGCACCTTACAGCTTTAAGAGAACATAAACTTTTAGGTGAGTACCATCTCCCCTGCCCACAAGTGTATTTGATAATTATATGCACCATGGCATCCATTTACTTAGTTTTGAATGAAACCAACGTAGGATGGACCAGACCCTTAAAACTGATCTTCAATTCAGCTATGAGTTTTTAAGCCATCCTTAAATGAAATACATTTGCTGTTTTTGCAGGCAATGAGAAGACTTTCCCTCCATCTCCGATCTTGATATTGCTTTCAACAGATGGACTCCTATGTCCGTTCCATATGCTCAACTCTATGCCTGGAATGAAGACACCAGTGAAATCACCAAAATGCCCACGTTTAGAAGGGGAGCGAGAACCCAAGCCAGGTATCAGTTACACCTATACCTACAGAAGAAATACATCGGACTGTAGAAGTTTAAGTACAGAACAAGGTCATTTGACTCATTTGCAGCCGTACTGACCCTGTGAAAGAACTGTTCACATGGTCTTATTCCCTTTGAAAAGCCATAATTGATTTTCACTCCTCTGAGTTTAATCCCCACTTCAGATATTTGTTCCTGTGCACCTGGCTGACACATGTTGTGTCCTACTGGTATACGTGTAAAGTGCTGTCTTTAAAAAGAGGGGTTAAGTTCAGGGCCACGTTTGACCTTTTATATGGAAGCTCCCACGGCTGTATTTTGAAGAAGAGCAGGGAATTCTTATAGTTATCCTGAACAACATTTACCTTTTGTGCTTAACAACCAATCAAGTAATTTTGGAGGGTGGTCCCTGTTGCAGTGAGGAAAACGTAGCAGACGATTTGCACACAGCGATGTCCTGTGACGAGTAATTGAAGGAAGAGCAGATTGTCTGCTTTTGGTGATGTCGGATGAGGGATAAACATATGCTGGGACATGGAGTATGGCCTAGCAGGAGGGGATTGCCGAGTGGTAGTATCACTGTTAGTCCAGAGACCCAGGAAGTGCTCTCAGGACCTGGGTTCATAGCAGTTGGTGGCAATTGAATTTCGTAAAAATCTGGAACTAAGAGTCTAATGATGACCATGAATCCATTGTTGATTGTCAGAATTACCCATCTGGTTCACTCATGTCCTTTGGGGAAGGAAGCTGCCGTCCTTCCCCAGTCTGACCCACATCTGACTCCAGACCCAAAACACCATGGTTGACTCTGAACTGCCCTCTGGGCAATTAAGGACGGGCAGTAAACGCTGATTTAGCCAACACCGCCCTCATCCCATGAATGAATTTTAAAAAAGTAATGTAATGATATTGCTATGTAGAAGATCTTGCCGTTAATGTTTTGCCTTATCTTCCAGCTCAGGTATCAATACCTGCTCCCTCATTATTGGTGCCATCACGTGCTGCGACTGCTTCGCCACAGGACTCTACTGTGGTTGTAAATCCACCTGCATCGTTCCGCCCATCTGTGCCGCCGGTGATGCTGCCACCTTTACCCACTTTTTCGAAGATACCTACCCAGACTCCACATGGAAAACCCGTACAAGATATGGTTAAAATCGAGCTTTATGAACCGTCCTCTTCAAGTGACAATCAAAAACTTGGTGCCTCGGAAGCAAAGATCAGCCCAACACCATCTACCAAATTTGTCAGGCAAGTCTTGTTCAGTAAAAACCGAAAGAACTGCGGATGCTTTAAATCAGAAACAAAAGTAAAAGTTGCTGGAAAAGCTCAGCAGATCTGGCTGGAGAAAAAAATCAGAGTTAACGTTTTGGGTCCGGTGACCCTTCCTCAGAATCTGTTTTGTTCAATATTATTCCTACCTGTCTTGTATAATGGCATCAAGCTTCATGGCTCTGAAGCAAGTCTTTGGGTTCTCTGTGGCCTTTGTGCTGGGGTTTATGCCATCTTTCTTGTGTAACCGTTTCCTTCCATCCTTCGTCAAGAGAAACAAAAAATGATGGAATTATTCAGCAGATCTGGCACTCTGTGGGAAGAGAGATTGGTAACATTTATGATTTATTGACCTTTCAACACAATTGTTCTTTCTCCCTCCTGTGTTTATCCAGCTTTTCTTTAAATGTATCTGTGCAATTCAGACCCAACTATTCAATGCAGTAGCAAGTTCCAGAATACAGTCAACGCTGCTTCAAGAAATTTCTTCCTAAAGTCCCAGTTAGATTTATTAATATCATCCCTCAGGCTTCCCTTTAGTAGAAAAGAATCTCTGCCTGTTCAGACTTTCCTGACATGGATAATCTTTTAGTTCTTGTTTTATTCTTGTCTGATTTGGATGAAAATATAGAATGCATGTTTAGTAAGTTGGTGATACCACCAAAATTGGTGGTATAGTGGACAGTGAAGAAGGTTATCTAAGATTACAAAGAGATCTCGATCAATTAGGTCAATGGGCTGAGGAGTGGCAGGTGGAGTTTAATTTGGATAAATGCAAGGTATTACATTTTGGTAAAACAAACAAGGGCAGGACTTATACAATTAAAAGTAGGGCCTTAAGTAGTGCCGTAGAACAGAGACCTAGGGGTTCAAGTACATAGTTCTTTGAAGTTTGCATCAAATATAGACAGGATAGTTAAGATGTTTAGCATGTTCGCCTTCATTGTTTTGACCTTTGAGTATAGGGATTGGGACGTCATGATTAGGTTGTATAGGACATTGGTGAGTCCTCTTCTGGTGTGTTCAGTTCTGGTTGCCCTGTTACAGGAAGATATTATTAAACTGGAGAGGCTTCAGAAAACATTTTCCAGGATGTTGTCGGGAATGGAATGTTTGAGTTTGAAGGAGAGGTTGGATAGGCTGGGACTTCTATCACTGGAGTGTAGGAGGTTTAAGGATGACTTTGTAGAGATTTATAAAAACATGAGGGGTATAGACAAGGTGAATGGCAGGTATCTTTTACCTAGGGCGGGGAATTTCAAGACTGGGAACATATTTTTAAGGTTAGAGGAGAAAGATTTAAGAAGGACATAAGAGGCAGTTTTTTTACACAGAGTGCTTTGTGTGTGGAATGAACTTCCAGAGGGAATGGTAGATGCAGACACAGTTACAATGATTAAAAGGCAATTGGATAAATACAAAAATAAGAAATGTTTGGAGGAATATGGGCCAAGAACAGGCAAGTGGGACCGGTTTGGTTTGGGAACATGGTCGGCATGGACTGGTTGGACTGAAAGGTCTGTTTCCGTGCTGTATGACTCTATTCCTTACTCTTTTGTGCTTTCTGTAGTGCCGTGAGGTTAGTTATAACATGCTGACCACAACTGCGTGCAAGACCATTGCTTATTGAGTGTGAGTCTTTAAGGTTTGGAGTGAATGTGACAGATATTTTGAAATCTGTTCAAATTTTACATAAAAGCAGTCACACTCCGTCTGCTGTGAAATTAGCTGCCAAACCTGGGTATTGTCAACCTGGATTCCAGAATTCTTAAAAAGCTACATTGGTAAAGGTAATCTATTCAAATGTGCCTTCACTTCATTCTGGAATCCCACTTGAACCATGACCTGTCAATCCTTGAGCCTTTTCCACAGCAAAGCTTTTTTATTCATTCAGGGATATGGCCTTCCCTAACTGGGCCCGCACTTGTTGCCCATCCCTAATTGCACTTGAGAAGGCGGTTGTGAGCTCCTTTTAGAAAATCCGTCATTCGTTTAGCATAGGTGTGCTCGCATTTATTTCGGAAGGGACTTTCGGAATCCAGCAAGAGTGAAGAAATGACTGTGTATTCCCAAGTCAGGATGATGAATGGCTTGAACGAGAACCTGCTGGTGGTGGTGTATCTACTGTCCTTGTCCTTCTTGATGGATAGTGGTCATGGGTTTGGAAGGTGCCGTCTAAGAAGTCTTGGTGCCACAGACTCAGCTTTAGAGCATGGTGTCCCAGCTCTGGGTAAGGACCCATTGTGGTGGGATGCCACAGTAGAGGAGGGACAGTGAGGGGAAGTGAGGCTCCACACTGAGATCCAATGTCAGTACCACGTGTTTCATAAAGAACCTCAAAATAATGATCTGTTTCCTGGTCAGAGAGGAGTCTTTTGTGCTGTCATGTACATTGTGCCACTTTCATCTCTCGCTGTGAAGCGGCAGGTGTAGTGGAGTGATTATCCTGTGCCTCCCTGAGTCTGGCATAACACAACTTCCAGCTAAAACTATATCCTCAATACCTCCGGCACTGCAGCCTTCGAGAGTCGCTGTAGATTTTGATCACTAAGGATCAACACAGAGAAGAACAACCCAGTTCTGAAGAAGTGTCACTGGATTCGAAACATTAACTCTGCTTTCTTTCCACAGATGCTGCCAGACCTGCTGAATTTTTCCAGTAATGTCTGTTTTTAATAACAATATGGAATGCATCTTCAAGGAACATGCTCTTTGTGCTACCTAATGTTGACATTTGCAGCATATGCAGTTGTAAAGTTATACTTTGTTGTTTTTTGATTCCTTTATCGATGAAAGTAATTTCTCTCCTCCTATCCTGTCAGCTCCGAAAACTAGCTTAAGTACCTCGGTTCTTCTCGATTTGACTCAGATAGTATTAGACTCAGACTCTACCATTTGGCATGCATCATTTGAAGGCAATGAGGTTTTGGTTGGGCTTTCGAACCCAGGGTGCGTGCTCTTACTTCCTTTACATTGCTACAGGACGGTGACCCTTAAACTGTCTGACCAAAACATCTTCAACCTTACAGTGGTAATTCTCTCTGTCTTTGTGTGGACTCTGTCTGACTCCTTGAGGTTATTTCTTGTCCCAGCATTTACCTGCTATCATTTCAGTGTTTGTGCCGAACTGGCTCTCTGGATGTTAAACGGGTTGAACGGTGTCAAGTAGGGTGGGCAGCACAAGTTTGCAGAAAGTGTGGACTTAATGGGCTGAATGGCTCATCCACGTTCTGTGGTTTGATGCTTTATGATACTGGTTACTCCTTGAGGCTCTTTAGATGCTTTTGACTCCCTGTTTTGCTCAACAGTGATAGAGTTGCTCTGCTTTGTAGGTTCTTGGAAAGCGGATCAGCATCCAGTGAGAATGAACTGAAGGCTCAAATGATGCAGAATCTGCTGCCCTCAGCAGCAGGTGGTCCACCTCCAGGTACTGCTAGCTGGAAAGACAACTTTTTCAGAAATGTGCTCTTATCCTTTGGAAGTCGGATGTTAATTCTTGAAAATCCTTTATGACATTGCTTGGGAAAGAGAGAAAGGAACAGTCTCTACTTTTCATGCATTCTGTTGTCTCCCTATCATCCTTGCCAATATCCTTTTGTTGACTTTGCCTTTTGCTCATTCTTCCCCTCCCATTTGCTAATTTGTTTCTCTTTCGGTCTGTCTCAGATCAATAGCACTGTCTCTTTCTCTCTCTACTCTCTAACCTCCCCCCCACCTCCCAGTATTGTCTCTTCACCATGCCTCCACCCACCATCCCGTCCTCTCCCACTCCCATCCCTCTCAATGCCACCTCCTGCCCCTCTCACTCTCTGACTTGACTGAATCTTTCTCCCAGCATCTGATGTATTCTTTGTCAAAGGAGTTTTGCCCTCAGTCTTTGGTCTAAAGGTGCCAGTCTAATCCATTTCATGATCAGGAAGTTCACAGTGATTCCAAGGAACCCCTGACCTGCACAATGAGTCTGGATCGTGGTGGTTGGGCTGGGCCAGAGGTTGCTGAGGGGGGCAGCAGACTGGATGAAAACTCAAAGCATGTGGCAGCCATTAATGTTCTTCCTTTCTCCACATAGTCACTGCTCGAAGTGCAATGGGTGCTGCTGCCATCTTTCCTGTTTCCAAGACATGTCCAACTCAGGTAAGGGTGTGAGTGTGATGGGTCACCGTGAAACTGAATTGCTGTGTGGAGGGCATCATCTAATGAACAGCAATAAAGAGCAGCTTCATAGGTTGCTTTAAAGAAAGCTGATTTAAACAAAGAGATGGGCTGGTGACTCGTTCACCTGGGTACTCCTGGAGGTGACAGGAGCTTGCGTTCTCTGAGTGTTGCTGGTGCAGAGAGAGATTACCCCAGCAAACATTCTCTCTCCTCCTAGGGTTTCAGCCTGAAATGTTGACTTACCTGCTCCTTGGATGCTGTCCAACCTGCTGTGCTTTTCCAGCCTCACACCTAAAGACCTTCTGTCCTCCTCATCTTTGGCATTGTCCTGACAATTTTGCAGAAGAGAGTAGACTCACAGCAGTCATGAATTCTCTGGGTGTCTTTCTCCTTATTTTTTGCCTCTTTGTTGTTTCTCCTGTCCGATGAGATTACATGGTTCTGCGGGACAGCAGTGGGGGTGTTGGTCAGGAGGAGTTCGTGTCCACTCCTGATGCTGCATGCATCAGTTGATGGTCTTTTCCTGCCCACTGACTTGGAATGTTGTAAGAGACAATCTCTTTGTCTTATTCTCCTGGCAAAGAGCGAGTGTTTATAACTCAATAATGCATTCTAAGCTGGAAAGTGAGTGAAATGCAAATCAAGATCCATTTCCTTATCATGACAGTAGATTTAATCACACCTCAGATGAGGTCCCTCGCAGATGAGGATGACTCTCTTCCACTCTCAGGGTGACTCCCTATGTGGCTGTACAGACCCATATGGCTACCACAGGCTCTGTTACACATGGGGCAGGTGGTGGTCACAGGAAGGGGTGGGTGACTCATGGGTGGGGCAGCGCGCCCCTTTGGCTGTTTTCGCCTGGCTTGCATTTTCTCACCCATGGCAAGTCTCGAGGTGCTCGACGCCTTCCTGGATGCTCCATATTCACTTTGGACAGTCCTGGGCCGGTAATTCCCAGGTGTCTGTGGGGATGCTGCATTTTGACAGGGAGGCCTTGAGGGTACCTAACCGACAACCTGTTGTGCCAGTACCCCCTTTCTTATATGTTCAAGATACATGATTGATTCCCTTTGCGTGTTTATTCCTTCGTCTTAGCAAAACAATTAACATAATATAAACACCAGTTTAAATACTTTTGGGGCAGTGTTGTCATACATCACTTTGCCTTTTCTCTTCAGAGCTCTGCCTCCTTAGAACTGTCCGTGTCTGATTTGGAGAAACAGCTGAAACAACATCCGACCTTGGATCCTGTCATGGTGGGAATCATGGAAGAGGTGAGAGCAACAAATGGGGAATCTTGGGTGAAATCCACTCTCTATCAATAACAGAATTCCCTCTTTTCGGTCAATGTTTCAGCATCAATCTGCTCAGTTCCCCACCTTGCTAATTTGTTAACTGCCCGCTGTTTTGTGCTTGACCTCTGTGTTGATCGGCTACAGAAAGGCCATTTCACAGCCGCTGATGAACTGTGCAACCTAAGTGACTTTGTTGTTTGTGCAAGTTATTATAGCTTTACATGTAAAAAAGACTATTTTCCCTCCACTGCTCCTTAAGCTCTACCAGTTGCTGGTTTGACAGCGCCTCATATGTAAAATTTGCATTCTTGTTTTCAAATCTCTGCTTGACCCTCTTGAGCTCTGTAACCTCTCTATATCTTATAGCATTCTGAAATTCCTACCCCCCTGAAATCATGCGCCCTCTGCATGTCCATGACTTCATTGCTCTCCCACTGGAGGCTGTGCCTTCAGATTCCTGGGCCCTAAACTCTGAAATTCCATCCCTGTACTTGTTTACATCTCTCTCCTCCTTTAAGGTCCTCTATAACAGTAAACTCTTGGACCAAGCTTTTGATCTCCTGACCTAATATCATCTCAGACTTTTTGCAGCATCCTTTAAGAAGTAACTTGAGATATTTTGCCAGGTCAAAAGTGCTGTAGAAATGCAAGTTGCTGTTTGGTATTAAAATGATCTGTTGTAGCGTCTTTGTAAAATTAAGAGCTAGTATTTACGTAGCTCACTCAGAATGGATCTTCTGACAGTGTAGTGCTACCTTACTACCGAACATCCAATAGTGTGGCACACCCGCAGTACTGACACTCCAGCAGAATGTTGCCCCCTCTGTCTGTCTGTCAGTGCGGTTTGACATGTGATTCTTAGCCACTGAGCTGTAGCCAATACTTTGTATTTTTATTCAGTTCGTGTCCTGGCTCGAGCTGATCTTCGAGAAGTGCAAAATCTTGCGGCTAATGTGAGTTTACACTGTCCAGCAGCACATCTGTTTGCCTGATGGAGTGGCTGTAAAGAATTGTGTGGAAGCACTTGAAGAAGAGTTGGAGCTCTCTTCAGTGCCCTGACAAATTCCGAGCCTTCATTGTCAAAACAGATCACCTGCTCACTATCACTTTGTTTGTAGAATCTTCCTTGTGCAAACTGGTTGCCCTACATTCCAGTAGCTTGGGTTCCTTCAGCTAGAAGAGCAGTTACTGAAAAATTTCTGAGCACTCCAGTGAGCTACAGAACGGACTTTATCTAGAGCTTGGTGAAAGAGGTGGTGTTTAAGAAAGAGAAAGTGCACTGGATAAGGAATTCCAGAGCTTCAGTCAGAGTCAGCTGAAAGTACAGGCTCCCCTATAGGAAAATGTTCCACTTCATTAGGATGCCCAGGGGCATGGGAGGTGTGATCTGTTTTTATTAGCCATCATTGTATTTCTTTGGAATACTAACAAGCCATGCATTTGGTACAGATTTCTCTCTTTCAGAAGGAACTTGATGATTTGAAAGCCCGCACGGCACGTTCTAACTTTGAGGTTGGCAGCGCCAAGGAGATGACCCACCTGCGGTATGATGCCCAGTCACTGCACACCTTCCTGTTGGAGGTCAAGGAGATAACAGAGGCAAGTGGAGAGCAGAGGTCAATGGGTAATTCATCAACAGAGAGGAGGGGGCAATCAGGACTAATATCTTTCTGGTGTGAGGCTGTGGGCAGTTGACGGAAGAATAACCTCACAATGTAGCGAAGCCCCCACCAAGCCACACCTCTGGTGGGCAATAACAGTATTTCATCGCATTACAAAGGCCACTCTTCCAACATAGATACTTGATAAATGTACTCAGAAACCCACTAATGTCTTTGCACCTCATCAAAATGCAATTACTTTGGACAAAGTCAATAATACTGTTGTTACTGGAAATCTGAACCAAAAACAAATGTTGGAAACACCCAGTAGGTCTGGCTGCCTTCAAGGAGGGGGAAATATGTTTAACCTTTTCAAGTTGGTGACCTTGCATCAGAACCAATCTTGCCTCTGCCACTTCAGAGTATTTCCAGGATTTGCTTTCGTTTATTTCAGCTTTCCAACTGCTGTTGTGTTTAACCTTTGTATGGGCCAGAGGTTGCAGCCAGAATTGCTCAGAATATACAGTACAGACAGGCCATTCTGTCTAACTGGTCTATACTGGTGTTTTCTCTCCATACCAGTCCCCTCCCACTACATCTCAGCTTTTCAGCATATCTTTTTACTCCCTTTTCTCTTATGCATTCATCTAACTTACTTTTGAAAGCTTTAAAGCTGTTTGCCTTGACTACTTGTATAAAAGGAAAGGACTGCAAATGCTGGAGAACTGAAATGAAAACAAAGCGGTGTAGAAACTCGGCAGGTCTGGCAGCTTCAGCAGAGAGAGCAACAGTGAACCCTTTTAGTCCAGTTGATTCTTTCTGTTTTCAAGATGGGTTAAACAGTGATGGGGAATGAGCTGGAAAATGGAGGCTGCGAGGAGATCAGTCATGAACATGTTAAATGGTGGAGCAGGCTTGAGGGGCTAATTGCCTACTCTTAGTTCTTATATTTCCTCACAGCTGACTATTTACTACTATTCACACCTACCATTAACATCTGTTCTGCAACTATATATCTTCCCTATCACCATTACCCCACCTTTTGTTGTTTGCTCTGGACACCCTATCATTTGTTCCTTTTGCCTCTCCTCCTCCTTTGCCAACAACATAAAAAACATCATTTTGCCATTCCCTCGTCCTGTTAATTAGGGTCTGTCGGAACTCTTCTAGGTATTTTCCAAAAGACAAAACGCCAAAAACCTGTTTGATTTTTCCCAGTAATTGTTACCTCTCGGCCTGGCCCTTTCTGTTCTACAGAAGAGTCACTGGACTCAACATTAACTTTGTTTCTTCCTCCCCAGATGCTGCCAGACCTGCTGAGTTTCTCCAGCACACTCTGTTTTTGCCTTAACCACCTCCCCACTGTGTTAGCAAGTTCAACATGCTGATCTGCTTGAATATAGATGTCATTCCCTATTTCCCAATTAGATTTGTTTGTAAAGGCCTTGTATTTATGCCCTTATTTTCTTCGGGCAGTTTTTTCCTCGTCCTGTTAATTAGGGTCTATCGGAACTCTTCTAAGTATTTTCCAAAAGACAAAACGCCAAAAACCTGTTTGATTTTCCCAGTAATTGTTACCTCTCGGCCTGGCCCTATCTTTTGAACATTTATTGCACTTTCTTCCGTGATTTCATGTCATAGAGCTGTACAGCATGGACACAGACCCGTTAGTCCAACTCATCCATGCTCACCATAGAGTCATAGAGCCATTCAGCATGAAAACAGACCCTTCGGTCCAACTAGTCCACGTCGAACCTAATTCCAAACTAAACTAGCCCCACCTGCCTGCTCCTGGCCCATATCCCTCCAAATCTTTCCTATTCATGTACTTATCCAAATGTCTTTTAAACAATGTAATTGTAGCCACATCCACCACTTCCTCAGGAAGTTCATTCCATATATGAACGACCATCTGTGTAAAAAAAATATGCCTCATGTCTTTTCTAAATCTCTCTCCTCTCACCTTAAAAGTATGTCCTCTAGTCTTGAAATCCCCCATCCTTGGGAAAAGACAACTACCATTAACTCTACCTCTATCTGTCCTTATTTTATAAACTTCTATCAGATGCCTCTCAACCTCCTATGCTCCAGTGAAAAAAGTCCCAGCCTATCTTTATAACTCAAACCTTCCATACTTGGCAACATCCTGGTAAATCTCTTCTGAACCCTCTCCAACTTGGTAATATCCTTCCTATAACTGGGCGACCAGATCCAGACACAGTATTCCAGATCAGGCCTCACCAATGTCCTGTGCAACCTCAGTATGACTTCCCAACTCCTATACTCAAATATCCTATACTAGATATCCTAAATAAACCTAGCCCCCTTTGCCAGCTTTTGGTCCATATCCATCTAACCATTCCTATTCATGTCCCCATCCAGATGCCTTTTAAATGCTGTAATTGTACTGGCCTCCACTACTTCCTCTGGCAGCTCATTCCACAACGCACCACCCTCTGCATGAAAATGTTGCCTCTTACGTCCCTTTTAAATCTTTCTCCTCTCACTTTAAATGTATGTCCTCAAGTTTTGGACTCCCCTACCCTAGGAAAAAGACCTTGGCTATTCACTCCATCCGTGTACTTCATAATTTTATAAACCTGTATAAAGTCATCCCATAGCCTCCAACACTGTCCTTTTTATACGGTAGAGAGCAGAACTCTGCAAAGCCTAAGCTGAACAGATTGGTAGGCCGTAGTTTTCGGTGGTCAGAAGCTCTTTGTTATGAGCTGGGGGCATGGGACTGCGTTGTGGGGTAGGCCCTAGATCAAGTGGTACACCAGACTACTGGCTTCAAGACTGACCCTGACTTAGCTCAGTGCCTGAATTCCTTCCTCATTGGTTGAAGAGGAAGAGTAGTTTGATCCAACAGATGTGAAGCTGGAAAAGCACAGCAGGTCAGACAGCATCCAAGGAATAAGAGAGTCAACATTTCGAGCTGACAAAGGGTTTTGGCCTGAAATGTTGCCTTTCCTGTTCCTCGGATGCTGTCTGACCTGCTGTGCTTTTCCAGCTTCACATCTGTAGACTTTAGCTTCTAGCATCTGAAGTCCTCACTGTCTTCACGAGTAGTTTGTTGCTCCTCTTGTTCCCTATTGTCTGTTTATTGTGGAATACCACTTGAGGACATTTGGTAGTAAAGTAATCTGTTTATGAGAAGAATTCTTGGAGTTGCTGGTGACTTTTGTGCTGTTACGTTTGATTATATTTATTTTCTGCCTCTCCCCTATCCCGATAGACTCTGCATGAAGAAATCGGCATTCTGAAGACCGTGATGCTAGAAGGATTTGCTGGTGTGGAAGATGCAACTACACATAACGAGCGAAACATGGATAAGAATTATCTTCAGCTCCTGCGTCGAAAGCCCCTCAGCCCAAAGAGCGAAGCCCAACTTAAGGTGTGTAACTGCTACATGCTGGTGACTTCAGATAATCGTATTATAATGAACCTATCAAGGCAAAGCTCACTGTGAATTAAACTGCAGGTTTTTGCTTTGGTGCAGCTAGCAGCTCTTAGAGTTTCTTCTCAACAATCGGGCAGATTGAATTGGAGCAGGGAAGAGGACATTGACAACTTGGCAAAAGTCCAGAGGGAAAATGTTTTTCTTAATGTAGTAAATTGTGAATAGTGCTTAAAAGGACAGAGAGAGCAGATTTAGTAGTAATAGGAAGCTGTGTATGACATAGTGTTATTTAAAATTTTATAGTACAGAATAGACAAGCTTGTGGCCAGTCCATGCTGGTGTTTTTGCTCCACTGGATTCTCTTACACTTTTCTTCTTCTAACTCAATTGACCTATCTATCCCTTTCTCTCCCTTGTGTGTTTACCTATCATTCATCTTAAATACATCTTTACCGAAGGTTTTTCTGATGTAACCCCATATTTGTACCTCAGAATTTGTATGACTTGGTGAAAAGGTGAAAATTTGAGAGCATCCAGGAGTAATGGGGAGTGGCTTCAGTTGTTGATGGGGGTGATGGGGGCCTTTCAGAGGGTGAAAAGATTCATGTACGTTTCCCATCTCTCCCTCCATATACCAACCTCTGTCCCCCATCTTCCCCCTGCCTCCATCAACTCCCCCCATTCCCACACCACCTCCTCCCCCACCGCCCAACTTTTCGTATAGCAGGAATTTGGTCTCAGTGAGCAATTGAATAGGCCATTCCTTCCAGTAGCAAAAAAAGGCAAGATTTTTAAAAGTAATCTGTGACCTCTTTGTGTTTCTGACCAACATGTATTGCCCTGCATTGATCTGTGTTAAAATTCATTTCATAATTATCAATTTCCTGCACTCCTCCGTATTGACTTGCAGTCCCAATTATGTGTCATCTGCATGTTTAGCAATTGTCTCTGATTTCAAAGTCTAGATTGTGAAGAGAAATTGTGAACACTTGACCCAACATTGATTCTTGTGGGATCCAACTTCCTATCTTCTGCCATTCTGAATCATTACAATATGCTGTACCCCCTATTTTCTGTCTCGTACCTAGCTAGCAATGCATCCTGCTAATTGTCACCAAACTCTGTAGTCCCTGATCTTACACATTGTGGTACCATATTGAAGGTGTGGATATATCGGTATGTTATATCAACTGCATAACTCTCTGTTGGTTGTTCAAAGAATGTAATGTAGGCCAAGCAATACTTTCCCATTTGAAACCAGTGCTGGCTGTTAATATCTTCATCTCTGGCTGTTTTTTTGTTTTCTCCATTAGCAGGAATTCTGTCATTTTTCTGACACTGATGTTAAGTTGACCGGTTTATATTTTGTAGATAACTTCAAATATTAGTGTCAAATGACTAATTCTGACAGTACACTTTTTTTCCAATAAATTATTAAATATGTAGAATAGAGCGTCTACTATCTCTCCTGTAAATTCTTTTAAAGTGTACTGTTGTGATCTGTCCCAACTACATCCTTATCCTTATTGAGCTTGAGGAATTTACGGAATGCTTTAGTTAAATTTATTTTTCAATGCAATGGGAATGGGAATGATGGCTGGACCTATCAAACAGCTGGCACAGGCATGAACGACCAAAAGATAGTCTTCTGTGTTGTACATTTCATTCTGTGTAATACATTTCTTCAAAGATTCACTTGTGTTTGGTGTATCCAGTCTCCACTCTGAAATTCCACATCCAGAGCATAGACTAAATAACTGTTTGTACATCTGCAAGACATCAGTACGGTTCTTAATGAATTGGAGGCACTTGAAATAAAGCTGTGAATCTCCCCCCAAGGCCCTGGTTTCCATGCACAGCATCCCGATCTGTTGTATCGATGGGAGGAGGTACAGCGGACTGGCAGGAGGCTGATGTGGAGCTCAACGATGAGCATTCCCCAAATATCCCATTTCTATGCTGCTCAGTCTGTGTACTTCTGAGTGGTTTGATGCTCAGGTTTAGTTAATATTTTGCTGCTCATAATTGGCCAAATGCTGAACTGTTGCCTCCCTGTGATTGTGGGGATTATTATCTTGTGGGGAGCTTTGCACGTTTTGATGGTGAACGTATTAAAGATTTAGTGTCTCTGAGGTGGCATCAGTGAAAGCCCTGAATTGCTCATTCAGCGATGGAGCACCTAAAGTAATTAGACTTTGAGGCATAATCCCAGACAAGGAATATAATTTAAATGTGTATATTAAATCAATTTGAAACTGCAGTATAATTTGATTCTACTGAGAACCTACTTTTTCTGCGGGCTAGCTACTGTTTTGTAATTCATTCATGGTTGGGCTAGCAGCGATAATTGTCCTTGAGAAGGTGGGGGTGGGTTGCTTTCTTGAACTGCTGCAGTCCATTTGGTGTAGTTAAACCCTCCATGCTATTAGGAAGGGAATTCCAGGATTTGATCCACTGACACTGAGTAATGACAATAAATTTACAAGTCAGGATGGTGAGTGGATTGTAGGGCTTAGTTTTCCATGTACCAACTGCCTGTCCTTCCCGATAGGTAGTGGCTGTGGGTTTAGAAGGCACTTTCTAAGTAGCCTTGGTGAGGCGTTTTTGTCATGCATCTTGTTGTCAGCATTGATACTCAGCATTGGTGGTCAAGAAATGGAATGTTTTTGGATTCCATCCAGGACAAAGTAGCCAATCGTTTAGGCTGCTTTGTCTTGGGTGATGTCAACCATCATGAAATTTTGGAATTACATTCATCCAGGCATGTGGACAATATTCATTCATACTCCTGAATTATGCCTCATAGATGGTGGACAGGCTTTGGAAAGTCAGGAAGTGAGTAACTCCTTGCAGGATTCCCAGCCTCTGACCTGCTCTTGTAGTCGCTATGTTTATGTGGTGAGCCCAGTTGAGTTTCTGGTCACTGGTACCCCCCAGGATGTTGACAGTGGGGGATTCATTGATAGTCGTCCCTTCGAATGTCATGGGACGATGCTTAGGTTCTCTATTGTTGGAAGGTGTTATCGCCTGTCATTGTGTGGCACAAAAGTTAATTGCCTGTCACTTGTCAGCCTAAACCAGGATATTGTCCAGATCTTGCTGCTCAGAAACAATTCTTGCATGGCTATTTAAGCCCTAATCTGGAGTCAACATCCAACTTGAAACAGCGAAAAAACCACCTCTTGTCATCAGACCCTGGCTGCATCATATACTGTGCCAGAGTCTCCAGTCCACCTGCACCATGACCCATTTTACTGCCTGTCATGGTAACATGCACATTGCATGTTCCTCTTTGTCCTGTCACAACAGCATAGTTGATATGCAGCGCACAGTCCCAGCTGATTGTGGTGCTGGTTAAGTCTGATCCAGAATGAAACTTGGCTTGATGGATTACACATTTAATTTTGCAGTTGGTTTATGTGGTGGTGAATCACCGAACCAGATTTGCATGAGCTGTAGATGGTCTTTAAAAATGTGAGTTTATTAAACAATAGAAAAAAATCCAAAGAAAGCTATAGAACAGTTGGAAAGATCATAACACAAACGTCAAAACAAAGTTTCAAACTGTTTTCATACACCACCAGTTGCAGAGATTCAATTCCAGAGAAATGTTCCTCCTATCTCATTTTTTAAAACCTTTACTTAGCTGATGCTTTCCAATTTCTTTCCCTTTGACTGTTGAGATGGCTTTTCCAGTTTCTTTCCGAATCTGCTAGCCTGAATCCCCCTTAATTAATTCTGATGGCCTAAACCTTCTCAGTTTTAACAACATGAAAATTTCTACCAAACTTTCCTGGCTTGGAACCTCCACAGTCTAGCAGCTAGTTCTGATGTGATTAGTTCCACAACTGAACTATTTTGAAAACATTGTTTTCTGCCCTTCCCCTAGCAGAAGAGCTGTACTCTTCTGAACTCTGGCTGCTTCTGAACTAAAATAGAATACATGTAGGAACAGGCCATTCAACCCAATTAATGCATGCTCCACACAAAGTTCCTTCCACCTTTTTCATTTTGTGCTGTTTAGTATAGCCTATACCTTTGTCCATCATGATGTTTCCTAGTTTCCCTTAGATGCAACGAAGCTATTTGCCTCATGTATTGTTGTAGAATTTCACACTCTCTTCACTTTCTAGATAAAGAAGTTTCTTTGAATTCTCCATTGGATATATTGCTGCCTGTTTTATATTTATAGTACCAGTTTCCACGAATGGAAACATCTTTTCCAAAGCTACCGCATTAAATCGCTCTGTAATCTTTCAGATTTCTATCAGGTCATCTCTCAATGATCTCTCCAGGGTGCCCCCCGTTCAGTCTTTCCTGATTCATATGACCCTTTTTGCACCTTTATTGGTGTCTTTATATCCTTTCTATAATATAGAGACCAGAGCTATGCATAGTATTGTAATGTGGTCCAATGAATGTGGGTCATATCTCTGCATTACAGTTCTATACCTTTAGAAGTATACCCCAATGCTGTATTTGCTTTTATTGGGGTGTTATTATGTACCTGGTTTATTCTGTAGAAGCAGCAATAGATGGCTTATCATGCCTATGTCAGCTTTTTAAAATACTTTTGAATTTATTCAGTTGCCTAGCTTTTCTCCTCCTCAAACCTACACAAACTCTTCAGGTATTCTGCATTTGCTGATGCCAGTTCCCATGGAGTTTGATTCCACTGTGCTTTCCAGGTTTCATGAAGATATTTTTCCTTAGTTTCTCTTTAGTTCTTTTGTGACATATTTTAAACCTGTGTGATCTGAATACTGACCCACATAACAGATGAAATGATTTCTCCAAACTTGCTCAAAGTTCCTCATTGTTGAGAACTACTCTGCTAAATCTCCCATTAGCCGTCTCTATGTGAAAGAACACAATCCCACTTCTCTAATCTTTGTCCACAACTGAACTGACACTTGGTAAGCCATCCTGGTAGACCCTCTCAAGAGTTGTGGCATCCTTCCTGAACTATGAAGAGAACGTGGTATTTTGTCAAAGTTGTGCAGTTGCCAGCTCTTTTGCATTTTAGTTCTGAAGGAGGGTCACTGTACCTGAAACATTAACTCTGCTTTCTCCATAGCTGCTGCCAGGCCTGCTGAGTTTCTCCAGCAATTTCTGTGTTGTTTCTTTTCAATTTACTATTGTGCAGTGTATTTACTTGTTCAGGAAAAGTGAAATAAAGAATGTTGAGTTTTTGTTTTGCAGGAAATTCGCCAACTGCATCAGTATGTGAAGTTTGCCGTACAGGATGTAAATGATATGTTGGATATGGAATGGGAGCAATACCAGGAAAAGAACAAGAAGCACAAGTGAGTAGTTCTCAGTGCAAAGCTTGGAGATGTGCCTTCAGGGATTTAGAACACTGTGCCAGTTATGGCTCAGTAGATAACGGGCTAGTTTGGATTCAGGTCTGCATTCCAGCAACTGTATCACAGATATCTAGACTCAAGGGAGAAATGCAATGTTAGAAGTGTGTGGTCTTTACAATGTGATGTCAAACCGCGATAGTATCTATCTCTCCATTTGTACATTAAATGTTCCCACAACCTCTAGTTTGAAAAAGAGCAAAGGGAGTTCTCATCGCTCGACCAACATCACTGTAAAACAGCAATGCATTATTACAGTGTTTGCCGTGTTCAGCAGATTATCCCAGTACCATCATATATAGAATTCGGTTGGATTGCATGTGAATATCTAACCTCACAGCTTTCTGCTTTTGGCTGCAGGTTCCCCCTTAGCCACCGAAGTGAATGTGAGAATACAAAAGCAATATTGCAGCAGATGCTAGAGATCTGAAATAAACGCAGGAAATGCTAGAAATAATCAGCACGTCAGGCAGCATTTTTGGAAAGAACCAGAGTTAATGTTTCAGGCCAATAATGTTTCACCAGAGTCAGGACTATGAAAGTATTTGGTTTCTATGTGTAAAGATCTGCTTGAACACGTAATGAGAAACAGGCCATTCACCCCATCAGGTCTCTGCTGGTGTTTAAGTTCAATACCTATTTCTATGCCTCGTTTTTACTCCATCAATGTATTCGTCTGTTCCATTTTCTTGTGTTATTTAACTTCCTCTGAAATGCCTCTATATCATATGCTTCACTACTCCCTGTCATAATTTCACATTGTCATCACTGCCAATAAAGAAGTTTCTCCTGAAGTCCCTGTTGGTTTAGCAGTGAATATCTGCTAAATTATGTATCTACCAATTGTGGTCTTCCCAGCAAGTGAAAAATTATCTCTACTCCAAGCCGTTCTCTGACTGTTAAGATTTCTATCAGGTGGCCATCATCTTTCTCTGGAGTAAAGAGCTGCAGCCTGTTCAGTCCTTCCTGATAATGATCAACTCTTAGTTCTAGTACCATCAGTATGTGTCTTTTTTGCACCTTGTCCTGTGCCTCTATCCTTTTATTGTAAGGAAAATGGGACAGCACTCCACATGTGGAGAGTCTGAACTTTAACAAGCAACTGTGATTTTAGTTTTCATATGTCTGTTATGTGATGAGGAGCTGAGTGTTTCATTTTTACTTGATTTTAGTTTTAAAGTTTCTACTGTTTCACTCCAGACATCTGCTTCTACCAGAGAGGGAAGTGTTGTTCAACGCTTTGGCGAGCCATCATGAGATCATTACCCAGCAGGATAAGAAGATTAATGAACTGATAGACAGCTTGCAGAACCTCCGTATTTATAACCAGACCTCCAAGTGGTGTGTGCCCAATGAAAAGTGTCTGCTGAGTGATCGTTGGTAGGTTTTACATGTCTTACTCAGCACATTAGTCTACAACATTCCCTGTACCTAATCACACATCAGGTACCATGCGGTAGGTTAGCCTCCTTGGCCCAGACTGAGAAGACTGTGCAGTGAAGTCCCAGTTGCAGACACTTGAGTGCACTGAAAGCTGACACTCCTAGTGCCAGAGATAGTAGGAACTGCCGATGCGGGAGAATCTGAGATAACAAGGTGTCGAGCTGGATGAACACAGCAGGCCAGTATTGAAGGGGTTCTGCACTGTTAGGTGTGCCAACTGTTGGTGAGAGATTATACTTCAGCCCTGTCTGCTCTGTCTGGTTACAAAAGATCTCATGACACTGTTTCAAAGAGCTGTACCCTAGCTGATATTTGTCTGTCTGCTAACATCCCAAAAATATTATGTGATTGGTATCATGTTACTGTTTGCAAGAGTTTGCTGTGTTCAAATGGACTCTCATTTCCTACAGTACGGCAGTGGATAGCTCATAATTAGCAGTAAAATGCTTTGAAACATTACTGAATTATGAATGGTGTTTTACAAATACAAGTATTTTAAAACCTTGCCCACCCATCTTCCTTGGCATGTTTCTGGAGTTTGTGCTGTCCAGAGCGCGCTATATATTTATCTGGTGAGATGCAGTAAATGGTGAGGTATTTTCCCAACAAGTTATATCTCTCTGCCCCTTTAACTTTTGGATTTCTAATCGTGAGAGGCCTGTATTACTGCCTATAGAATGTATTCAGAAACTTGCTGCCTGGATGAAGCAAGTAGTGTAGGATGAAGGCAAAAATTTTATCACTTCGCTCTGAAAGCTGGCCCTTCCATTATTTTTACTTGCACTGCAGTATTAGTTGAGCAGGCTGCAAGTGTTGACCTTAAACTGTATCAGAATTGCTGTGTTTTTAAAGTGCCATTTTTATTAGGCCCCTACAGAAGTTGTGTAAATGCAAGTAATTTATCCTGCGCAAATGCCAGCATGTCCTTAGGTAATAAAGCAAATTGAATCAGAGCAGGAGATAGATTTTAGGTTATTTTTGTAGGTGCAGTGCTGATTCAGAGGAAAGTGTTGGTGTCTGGCACAGACCCAACTCTCTCGGGTGTTGAATTGGATAGATTTTGACCTTCCAATGAAGCTTGCTTCGTTGCCCCTTGTATTTTGAATTAATGTGCTTCGTTTGATCAGCCTCAGGTCTGATTTTGGGTGTCAGACAGTCGCCACAGTCACGGTGGGTCCTGTGACAATCCTGTATAGACAGCCTTGGTGGAAGGGCAAATCTTACTTGGCAGTCGCAAAAAGTAGCCACAAACTTACACTAGAACTTTTGATAATTAGCCGGCCAAATGCAAAAGGTTAAAGTGTTTAATGGTCGCTATTTGGGCCCATTTTGTCAATACTAGCTCCAAAACAATTCTAAATTATCCCCGCACCAGATTGGCTTACCATACACCAATTTGTATCCAATTTCTTTTCTGTAGCTGGGATACTGAGTTAGAGATGCTGCGCAATGTGCTGGTGAAGACTACCCTAGATGGAACACCAAAAGGGACTTCAGCCACCCCAGGTAAACCGTCACTGTTTCTATGTCTGATTGGTTTGTGGGGAAGAGTCATCTGTTTGGTGCGAACTTTGAAACAACATGTTTAACTGCATCAATCACCACAGTCTGCTTATTTCCCCATGTTTGGAGATTGGAGAACTGCAAAAATTACACCGTTTTTCAATAAGGGTTGTAAAGATCAATGATAGACCGATCAGTGCTGGTGGAACTTCTAGAAACAATTATTTGGAATAGGATTGATAGCCACATGGAAAAATGTGGTTTGATTCAGCAAGGTCAGCATGGATTTAAGGAAAAATGTGTCTAACTTGCTGGAGTTTTTTTCGAAGAGGTAACAGGAACTGTACGCTGTGCGAGCATGTCTGGTTCCTATGCCAACTGATAACATTATATCTCGGGAACTTGGGGCTGATGACAGCTTCAGTCTTTGTGATCCATTTTGCTAAGACATCCAGTCACACTTCCCCATCACATGATGGTATTTATAAATCAGTCACTAGACTTCTACAAACTCTACACCTTGGAATTTAATTTGAAGTGAAAAGATTTGGGTCAGTGCTCAGTTAGTACTGTAATTAACATAGAACAATGCAGTACAGCACGATGTTGTGCTAAGCATGATGCCAAATTAAACTGATCCCTTCTACGTACCCTTATCCATATTCCTACATTCCATGTACATTCATGTGCTTATCTAAAAGTTCCTTGAGTGCCCGTCATCTCTTAAAAAAACCATTCGGCCCATTGAGCCCACGCTGACCCTCTGAAGAGCATCCCAACCAGATCAAAATCTCTACTGTCCCCCTATAACCCTGTACCTCCCATGGCCAATCCACCAAATCTGCACATCTTTGGACTGTGGGAGGAAATCGGAGCACCTGGAGGAAACCCACGCAGACACAGGGAGAATGTGTAAACACCACGTAGATGTGACCTGAGGCTGGAGTCAAACCCAGGTCCCTGGCGCTGTGAGGCAGCAGTGCTAAGCACTGAGGCACCATGCTGCCCACTAGGATACTGACCTGGATAGAGTCCTCCAATAGGTGAGGATATGAAAGTAAAAATTATCATGTTCAGTTTTCATTACTGCCCTCTGCGTAACAAAATTCCACACAACCAACTAGGTTTAACTGATAGAGATGGGTTTGGGAATCTGTGTGCCTATTGTGTACCCTCCCAATTTCTGCTGTCAAAACTGAGGTAGTGTATGGAAGGGAATAAAATTGGCAGGTTGTGGAGCTAGCTAACATAGTCTTGCTGAGTTGGACTTGATGGGCTAAATGGCCTCTTCCAGTGTTGTAACCATTTACTGATTGTAGTGCAAGCCAAAATAGTAAATTTAGTTTCAGTGGTCAGTGTGATACAGTCCTTGATAGTGAAAAGTACTGTGTAAAAATATATGCAACCGAAGATGACTGATGAGTAATGGCCATTCTCGGGCTCACTTCTTGGTTCTGCAGCCTTCCGGAGTCCACCTACCTGTCTTAAAAATTAAACAAGGCATGGCAGTTAACTGTCGGCCATCATCTAACTGGTGCATTCTCAATGGCAATGCCTCCACCAAACAGTGTCAGCTTCCAACCAATCCACACTCTCCCATAGTTTAAATGTTGTTTTCCATTTATATTTATTTCTTGCGAATTGTCCCGAAGAGTGCAAGGTGCAAAGCTTTGAGAACATTTCTTTTTCCAGCATTCGAGAAAATTAAATTCCCAACAAGGCTAAAGTGAAAAGAGGAAACAAAGATTGCCCCCATCCAGTGTGTGGCAGTGAAACAGATTGAAGGGTAGACTTGGTTTGGGTCAATTGGCAGTTTTGAAAAGGAAATAGTTTGGTTTCGAGCAGAGTCATTCAGATTTTAAATGATACAGTAGAGTTATGAACTTGTTCACTGAAGAAAGAGCTTGATACATGTTGGATGTGACCAAAGGATTGGTTCTTGTTTTTTGTAATGTCTAACTTTAATTAAACCTGAGTGCACACCTCTTGGCTAAAATTTCCTTTCATTTTTGGGATTGTAGTTATGTTTACATTCCTTACCTCTTGTGAATAATTCAAAACACTCACGTCATTTGTTGATTTTGAAGTGAAGGGTGAGTGGATACAGCATTTCCAAACAGCAAAACAAAGAAAATGATGGAAACACTTGGGGAGGCAGCTCAACATGTGTGGAGAGTGGAGATGGGTTTACATTTTGATGTAAAAACTGAAAGAACTGTGGACGCTGTAAATCAGAAACAAAAACAGAAATTGCTGGAAAAGCTCGGCGGGTCTGGCAGCATCTGTGGAGAGAAAACAGAGCTAGCGTTTTGGGTCAGTTCTGAGGAAGGGTCACGCGACCCAAAATGTTAACTCTGCTTTCTCTCCACAGACCTGGTGAACTTTTCCAGCAATTTTTGTTTTTGTTACAGTTTGATGTATTTGTCGTGCTCGCATAAGTAGACAGTTGAATCATAGAATCCCTACAGTGTGGAAACAGGCCCTTCGGCCCAACAAGTCCACACCAACCCTTGGAGCATCCCACACACCCCTGAACACTACGGGCAATTTAGCATGGCCAAACTACCTAACCTGCACATCTTTGGACAGTGGGAGAAAACCGGAACACCCGGAGGAAACCCGCGCAGACACAGGGAGAATGTGCAAACTCCACACAGACAGTCACCCGAGGCTGGAATCGAACCCGGGTCCCTGGCGCTGTGAGGCTGCAGTGCTAACCACTGAGCCACCGTGCCGCCCTTAACTGGTCAGCCAGCACCTGAAAGGAACGTCCTGCAGTTTAGGTGATGCTGTCTGATTTCTATCCTGTACTTGAACAGAGTTTGTTTTTCCGGTTTCTGTTTCCCTGGCCACTCAGATATAAGCCTTTGAAGGTCACATAACGACCCATTTCAAAGGCATATGGAATTCTTGATTTTTATAAATAGATGCAGAGGAGCGTGTAAACCAGGAAGTTTCTAAACCAGTGATTTATACATCCCTGATTAATTCCAATTCTGGACACCACCCTTTGGAAGGTTATCAAGATCTTGGAGATGGTGCAAAGGCGATTTTCCAGAATGGTACCAGGGATGAATTGTTTATAAGTGACTATGAAAAGATTGAATTGAAAGATCTTCAAAATTTTGAGATTGGCCAGACCAAATAGGGAGAAACTGTTTTCATTCAGTGGAGGGATCAAAACTAGAGGAGGCAGATTTTCACAAATTGCCAAAGGGTTGATGAGATTTCCTTTTACTGAGTTGTGACCCACGGTGTGATGTTTGAAGAGCTGGTGAAAGCAAATTCAAGAGTAACTTCTAGAAGTGATTTGAATCTCTATTGCCAAAGAAAAACAAAGCAGGGAAGAGCAGGGTAGTGGAGCTAATTTTCTAACATTTTCAAAGAGCCAGCACAGGTGCAGCGGACCAAATGGCCATCTCCTGTATGATTCTGTGAATTTCTTTTATCTTTTTGGGGAAGATCATCAGCCCTAATACTGAGTGGGGAGGCAAGCTCAAAAGACTGTCTAACATCATCTCTCCAATTTGTTTATCTGAACGTGAGGTGTCAGACTCTGACTGTTGGGATGACTTGATAATGTGAAGTGCCTTTTTTAAAACATATGTCGGGTTTTTTTTCTTGATCTTCAGGTAAACTATCCCCAGTGAAACAATCCCAGCTACGGAGCTTCCTTTCAAAAAGACAGACTCCACCTGTGAGATCCACTGCACCGGGTAAGTACTAAATCCCTTCGAGAAGTGGCTTGGGTAATTGGGTGGCTACAACAGTTAGTTGTATCTCTGTAAGGAAAGTGGAAAGGGACTCCCTTGGGTCTGATGAGCCAGTCCAGGTAAAGAGAATACTGTATTGATGCTGAGTGTCATAATTGGGAAACCTAAATTCGAGCTGCTCCCCCGTCCCCCCATGTGAATACAATTCACTTAGAGAGTCATGTAGACCCTCGGTCCAACTCGCCCATGCTGACCAAGTTTTCCAAACTTAATTAGCCCTGTTTGCCCGCACTTGGCCCATATCCTTCTTAACCTTTCCTAATTATGTACTATCCAAATGTCTCTTAAATGAACTTCCTCTGGCAGTTCGTTCCACATATGAGACACCCTCTGCATGAAAAATTGGCCCTTCAGGTCCCTGTTAAATCTTTCTCCTGTCACCTTAAAATTATGCCCTCTAGTTTTGGACTCCCCTACCCTTTGCTATTCACCTTATCTATGCCTTTCATGATTTTATGAACCTCTATAAGGTCACCCCTCAACCTCCTACGCTCCAGTGAAAAAAGGTCCCAGCTTATCCAGTCTCTCCTTATAACACAAACACTCCAATCCTGGTGACATCCTATTAAATCTTTTCTGCACGCTCCCCAATTTAATAAAGTCCTTCCTATAGCAGACTGACCAGATTTGTACACAGTATTCCAAAAGTGGACTCACCAAACTCCTGTACAACCGCAACATGACGTCCCAACTCCTAAATACAATGGTCTGAGCAATGAAGGCAAGCATTTCAAACGCTGCCTTTACCGTTCTGTCTACCTGTGTCGCAACTTTAAAAAAAAAACTATGTACCTGAACCCCTAGGTCTCTCTGTTTCACAACACTGCCCAGGACCCCCTACCATTAATTGTATAAGTCCTGCCCTTGTTTGCCTCATCAAAATGCAACATATTGCATTTATCCAAATTAAGTCTACCTGCCACTTCTCAGCCCATTGACCTAATTGATGCAGATCCCTTGTAATCTTAGATAACTTTCTTCACTCTTGACTATACCACCAACTTTGGTGTCACCTGTAAACTTAATAACCATACTTTCTAAATTCTCATTCATATTGTTTATATAAATTGCAAACAACAGTGGACCCAGCACTGATCCTTGCGTGTTGACAAAAATGTATGGTTATCCACTTTAGAGTGAAAAAGGATAGATCAGAATACTTTCTAGCTGGTACAAAGTTAAATACGATGGATACCAAAGGGACGTGGGGTGTATAGATGATTGAACTGTCACAAATGGGTGCTGAAAATAATCAAGAAAACTAATTGAATGCTGGCTTTTAGAGGACTGGAGTACAAGGATGCAGGAGTTATGTTGCATTTATATAAAAACCAGGTGAGATCCCACTTGGAGTACTGTGAGCAGATCTTTGCATTATACATTAGGAAGGATATATTGGCTTTGGAGGGAGTACACCAAAGGTTTACAAGAATGATACCTGGACATCAGGGTTAAGTTATGAGGAAAGATTACACATATTGGGCCTGTTTTCTCCAAAATTTAAAAGGTTAAAGTCTGATCCAATCAAGTCTTCAAACCATTAAGGGGAAAAGACAGGGTGAAGATAAATTATTTCTGTTGGCTGTGGATTCCAGAACTAGGGGGCATATTCCAAGAGTTAAGGCCAGACCATTCAGGAGAGCTGTTAGGAAGCATTTGTACACGCACAGGGTGGGAGAGGTTTGGGTCTCTCTTCCATAAATGGCAGTGGATGTAGGATCAGTTGTTAATTTTAAATCTGAGATGGAAAATACCTTTGCTTAACAAAAATTTAAGGGATATGGATCAAAGGCAGGTATATGGACTTGGACCACAGGTTCAAGAGGCTGAATGGCCTACTGCTGTTCCTACTTTCTTACGTCCTAAGAAGTAACAATGTTGAACAAGTTGGATTTACATTGATAACATCAACTTCAGGTATTGCTGTTTTTGGGCAGAAATAAGCTGTGCTTACTCAATAGTTCTCTCCTGGTTAATGTTCAGTTACTGCCTCGAGTACTTTAAGTTCTCCAAATCCCCTGGTATGGCATGAGGTTACAGTTTGTGCTAAAATACTGACTGCAGTTAAAAATGAAGTATATTCATCAAGAATATTCATGCTGTACAGTAATGGCAGTGCGAACATTGTGTTGCTCAAGGCATGTACCTCCGCTTACTGGTGGGGTCTGTATTTTCCAATCAGTATGTGGTGTTTCTTCTTGGGGAATTAACCTGCGTCAATGTCATTTATTTGTCCCTTGCAGCTAATTTGTCCAGATCAGCCTTTATATCACCAAAATGTTATGGAGAGTTGGATGATTCGAGTCCGAAGTCTACTTTGCTGCGCCCAGATTATGAAGGTCTTCAGGCCAAAGAGCAGGAGACATCCTTGTTAAAACATGCTCCTGTCACGAGACTGCCTTCCTTTCCACCATCAGCAATCACCGCGCAGTCAACACCTTATGGCAAAGTCCAGCTTCCTGCTGGTCCCACTGTCACCACAAGTAAGTGTGTGAACTAAAATCCCACCTTTAGTCTTCCACCGGTTCAAATTACTTCTTAGTCAGTTGTTGTACTATAATTCACTGTTGTTTGTAGGGAAAATAGGATAGGAACCTACCGTAGACAGCGAGTGAGGTGAATGACCAGATAATGCAGTTTTTGTGTGACATTGCTTGAAGGATAAATATTGTCCAGAGAGAGAACTTCTGAATCTGCCTCACCATTCAAAATGATCATGGCTAAACCCCAGTTTGACCATCCTGTGTTATCCCTCATTCACAGAACATTCATTATTTTGATGAGATGAATGGCATTGTTTGGTAGTTACGGAGCAGATGTGTGTAATGCTGCATTCTGCTAATAAACCTATTACAGAGGGAAGTACTCGTGTTTAATTTTGTAACTTTACCGATTGACTTAAGATGGATTTAAATCCCCATTCTGTTGTATGGTCACTGGCTTGAAACGTTAACTTTATTTTTTCTTCTTTCCAGAGCTAATACTTAACCTGCTTGAGTGTTCTTGGCATTTTCTGTTTTTGCTTCATATAGCTTCATTTCTCCTTGTATGTAATCATCAATCCACAGCCATCTTAATATCCTCATTGCCTGAACATCAACAGCTCTTTGGAGTAGAGAATCCCAATGATTCGGAGTCCTCCAAATAAAGAAATTACTTTTGATATCCGTCCTATGACTGAAGCTATGATGTCTAGATTCTCCACCTGGGGAAGCTGCCTCAGTATCCGTTGTTCTTTGCTATCTGACAGACTTGATGGTGCCCAGCCCATCTTCAATATAGTTCACTAAATGATGCTTTCCCCTTTTTAAGAAACAAGGGGAGTTCATGGATTTGATAGAAACCATACAATGAGACACAGTTCACGCTATTAGGCCTGTTCAGGAAACCTCATCTCTTGGCATTGGAGAACAAGAGTAATGCTAAAGACCCCAAAGGCATTTCCTGTTATTTAAAGGCTGAGATGTTCAAGAACATCCATCAAAATATCGTATGATGTAGAGACAGGAGACGGTTAACGACAACCAAGGAATCATCAATCAACACCAATTCATTTTTCAGCTCATTCCTTCTCTTAGTAATTACGAAACAGACATGTGTAATGCCTACTCAACTTCGTCCAATTGAAAGGAAATGAACAACTTCCCTAAACTTAGAGAAACAGTGGCAGTGTGTCATCCCACAACAGTCTAGCTTTTTTCACATCTAACTTAGGAAAGCAGTGACTTCAAGCCGTGGATAATTGATTTAAGAAGAACAAGCTAGTGGCAGTGAGGGCTCATTCATGCTTTCATTACCATTTTTGCCTATTGCAGTGCTCACCTTCCCAGCCTCCAACCTCTGTGATCTTCAGTTCTTCCAAATCTCTCTTGCTAATTTCTTAACCTGCTGGCCCCATTGACTCATGGTTCCACCAGGGCTCAAATTTTAAATTCTCATGTCACTGTCCAAATCTGTCCATGTGTTCATGCCTTCCTATATCTGTAATACCCTCCAGCTGTAAAACCATTAAAACCTGTGCATTCCTCCAATTCTGGCCTCTTGTGAATCTCTGATTTCTTCCATACCTCTACCAGTGAGCACTCTATCTTTCTCCTCGTTTTAGGCATTATTTAAGATCTACCTCTTTGACCAGACTTTTGGTTGCTTGCCCTGATAACCTGTCTATGCAGCTTGGTGGTAGTGCAGCTGATGACGTTAAAGGTGCTGCATAAGTGGAGTTGCTGTTGTGATATTGGAAGCTTTCATAATTTACGCAGATGGCCTCTCAAAAGATTGTGTTTCTTTTTTGTCTTTTATTTCCTACCACCCACCCATGCTCATCAGTTCCAAAGCCAACAGGTAAGATGGTGAGACACGGAGCACCAGGGACTGAGAAGCCAGCCACCATCCTTCCAGCTGCCCAGGCTGCTGCCCAAGCAGCTTTCCGGAGACAGATGACCAGTCAGGTGCCAGGTAACGAAACCACTGACCGTAAGCTACCTGTGAGGGGGTGGGGACAGCCTATGCACACCTTGTTGTGGAGGTTGATCTTCCCTTTTAAAAAAAAGGTAATCGTAAATTCCATGACGTGGCGCTCCAGAGATGCCGACTATTGAATGAGACTTTAAACCAAGATCCCGCCTGCTGTCCCGCGTGGATTTATAGATCCCTTGGCCAGTATTCCGAAGAAGAGCAGGGGAATTATCTGCAGAGTGGTTGCTGATATTTGTTCCGAAATGAAGTATTTTTAAAGAACACTGGAGCTGGTTGTTCTCCCATTTATGTGTGGGAGCCTGTCCACAAATTGTCTGCCATATTTCCCACGTAACTACACTGTCAGAAGCACATAATTATGTGTAAAATGCTTTGAGACATCCTGTGATCATGAATGGCACAAAATAAATCAGCTCCTTCGTACCTTTAGCATTAGTCACTGCTGATGGTGGAGAGAGGATGTCAAACAATGACCTAAGGATCCCTGGCAATGCTGACAATCCCTGACAAAGATTTGTTCTGTTTCCTTTTCTTTCCATTTGTTGTGTCTGCAATGACATGGGAGTCTTGGTCGGGGATTGGCGGGGGGGGCCCTGTCAATTGTATTGTCCCACCGTCATATCTTGGCTTATCCATTTCATTTGCAAACAATTGAAACTGTTGCTTCATGCGACTCTTTGAAATTCCGTCTCTTTTGCCAAAGTGGTATTAAAACCAAAAAAAGACAAGGATGTGGCCAGTCTACGAGAAGCTACAAGTGGTCTTCAGTTAAGAAACATGCTAAGGAAAAGGGAAAATGACTCCTAATGAAGACTTTAGGGCAGTGACTTTGTTTGATCACTGCACTACCAAGTTGCCTGAATTCGACCATAAATTGCTTGTAGAGATTGTGCAGTATTTTGTCCTTGAATGAGGGTCCATCTTACATGAAATATGACGGATCACTCCAGCAGTTGCCAACCTAGAGATGCTTAGCTTTGAAGCTTTTAGTCAAAACGTTCAGATTGACAGAACGTGAGCTGTACAGTAACCTGGTTGGTAACCACCTCATGACATAAAACGACAACAGCTTGAGTTCATATTTGCAGATATGTTTCATATTTGGCACTGAACTGAGGAGAAATCTTCACCCAGAGAGAGAGTCTGTGGAATTCTCTGCCACAGAAAGTGGTTGAGGCATTGAATGTTTTCACAAAGGAGTTAGATATTGTTCTTAGGGCTAAAGGCCATCAGGAGAAAGCAGAAACGGGGGACTGAGTTGGAAGATTAGCCATGATCATATTGAATAGCAGAGCAGGCTTGAAGGACTGAATGGCCTACTCTGATTTTTCTATATAGCACCTCCAGTATCCCAAAATGCTTCAGGATTGTCATCATAACAAAATTGGACACTGGGTCGTGTAAAGATACTTTGGAATAGGCGACCAAAAGCTTGGCTAAAGAGGTAACTTAAAGGAACGTTGTAAAGGAGGAGAGATTGATAGTGAAATGGGGATATTTCTGAAGGAAATTACAGAACTTGAAGCTTGGTACATGAGATGTCTGTGGTGGAGCGATTAAAATCGGTTAATTCAGAGATGGAGGAGCACAGGTAGGTCAGAGGGTTTACACGGTGGTAAGAGCTAACAGAAGTAGGGAGAACATTTAACCATGTGGGGATTTGAAAATGAGGATGTGAATTTTAAAATTGGAACATTCCCAGAACTGGATCCAAAGTAGGTCAGTGATGATCGGAGGTGAGATGTTCAGATGTGTTGTAGAACAAATGTAAATTGCACATGCTTGTACTTAGCTGCAAGAGTGTTATTATGAAATTTTGTCTTAAGCTTGGAATAAAAGAGTACTAACCTTACAGCTTTGTAAATCTGTTCTGTTAGTAACGTGAAAATGTGTTTAATTGAAACACAGTGTTTTAATTTGAGTTTTGTTTTTATTATTGCCAAACGTAGCTCCAAGTGCTACCTTCCAAGAGCCTGAACAAAAAGAGAGTCCTCCAACCATTACCCCTCAAATCCTGCAAGGGACAGGCCTGCCTCAGGGTCCACCACCTGTCGCCAGGTGAGTTTACCATCCTCGGTTAGAAGGCAATGCAGTCTGTTGTCATCAGTGAGTTTGAGTCCTACCTTTCAATTGCTTGTCTTAAATGCTTCTGTTTTATAAGTGTAGCAGGAGTTCGTTCAGCCCCCTGCTGTCTCTTGCACCATTCCGTTAGATTAGCATCTTCACTGTCTTATATACTTTGATATCCATCCCCTTTCAGTGAAGAACTACTGCTGACGTCACCCTCAGGTGACCCAGTTCCAGCCTCACTCACTGGAAGAAATAGTTTCTCTCGATCCATCTGTTGATCCATCTGTCTATCCTGTCAGCTTTCTATTATTTTAAACTTCCCAATTTCAGCACCCCACTTTGCTGAAGGAACAATGAACCCGGTTTATATAATTTACTCCTTTTAGCCCTGGCATCAATTCTGGATCATCTGCACTGCTTTCCTTCCAAGCTCTCCCTGACTTCCTGAAGTGTGGTGCCAGAACTGAACAAGCCTCACAATAACTGACTTAATGCTTTTGAACACTTTTCACAACTACCAATCTCTAATAGACTGTACACCCTGACCCCTTCGTTCTTTTGTTTATCTCCAACCACCTTCTATTCTTGCATGATCCCCATCACTGTCACACTGCATGATCTGGCAGCATCTGTGGAGAGAGAAACTGAGTTTATTTTTCAGGTCAGGCTGTCAGGACCGGTGACAGGTCATTGACTTGAAGAGTTACCTTTGCTTCACTCCCTGCACTTGCTGGCATTTCCCAATTTTTCTGGCCTTATTGCAAGTGCTGGAAATCTAGAATATTTTCTTTTTATATTACGTTGCACTGTTTCTCAGCCCACGCATCCTTCTGCGTGGTTCCCCACACAATCTAATTCCTACCTTAGTAACATCTGCAAGTGAATATTTACTGCTGTTGCCTGCTTTAATGTATCCATAATATCAAAAATAAGTTCAGAATGCCATTTATCAATTCTCGTTGATCCCGTTTGTCTTGAGTCAAATTGAAGTGCAGGTGGTAACAATATAACCTGATGACAGGGTTGTCCAGCACTTTCTTTTTTAGCTATGTAGATATATAAACTCAACTGTAATGTCCATGCTGGAGGAAGTGTTCTGTAGCTGATTATATTATACTTGGCAGCTAATTTTATTAAATACTGAATCCAGAGATCAATCTGTGGGACGTTTGGACATAGTTGCGAAGTGGAACTACTTTACCTATTCTCCCCTTCATTAGCCAAAACATGGTTTAACTTCGGACTTATTTCCTGTCTTGTCTCTCTTATAATTAATGGCTTTGAAGGTTTTTTCATATCTATAAGTCTTGCCACCTAGGGTGTCAAAATGCAGGGTTAACGGGAGAAGGTGGAAGGGGATGGGTCTGGGTGGGCTACTCTATACTTTTACACAAATGATCTTCTAAGGTATATTAGTTTGCTTTGTGAAAGGAAAGAATGCTTCAAAGACCCATTTATCTTTCTCCTTGTGAAACTGAGTTGAATCTGTGATTTTCTTTAACTTTTGCAAATTTTTAGAATCTGAAATGGTCACACAGAATTGATTTTCTTGTGTGCTGTGGGTGATGTTGTCCTTTGTGAACTCGCCTTTAGGTGGCACCATTGCTGCTCTGGTTCAGGTCAGAATGAATAGAATCCACTGGGAAAGGTGAAGCTTGCAGGTGGAGTTTGGGCCAGTTTGTCTCGGGTGCTATATTATATGGTAATTGCAGCACAGATTCTGTCCTACATGCCTCTGCACTGTTTATGCTTCAAACAAAGTTCCTCCCATCTGTCTCCATCTTGTCCCATCAGCATATTCTTCTATTCCTTACAACCTTAACGTTTCCCTGAAACGAATCTGCATTCCATTCATTCCACATTGGACGAAGTTTCTAACCATTCTTTGCTTGAAGTTTCTACTGAATTCCTTCAGTTTATTACTGACCATCATCCTTATGGCCCCATATCCTGGTCTGCCTCTCAGAATCACCGTATCAAATCCTCTCATAATTTTAATGACTTTGATCAGGTCACCTCCTCGACCTTCTTTACTTCTAGTCAGTTGAGCTCAGCCTGTTTTCAGATAGTTATAACATCGCAGTTGTTATCACTCCAGCAAAGCATTGTCACAACTTTCTGTGCAGCGATTATATTTTTATTCTGTGGGAACTGAATTTTCAGGACTTTGGAGCAAGAGCAGGTCAGAGTGGGGTTAGTTGGCTCACCATACAGAGAGCTTGCGTTAATGATTTACACTTTAACCTCATGTCCCTGCCCTTGTCCTTCCAGTTACTGGAGCACCAGCATTTATTTAATTTTAAAATCAGTGGGACCGTGTATATTTCTGTGGAGGTTTAGAGCTGAACTGACTGGCCTGAATCCCAGTGGTTTAGGATTAGAGGGCAGATGTTCGTGTAGTTAATAGCCTCCTGGTGAAGCACAGTTCCTATTATTAATCTTCATGAGCCTATAATGTATGCTTCACTTAAGCTGTAAGCAAGGATGTATTCTGGTATAGAACAACTGAAATCTGTTTTGGATTAGAATACTTCCACATGGTACGTTTGTAAAATAAAGAATTAAAAGAAATTGTTTGAAATACACAATCCTTTGCAAAGGCAAGAGCTCTTTCATTCACCATTTATTAAGGTCATGGCAGATCTGTTTGTACAATAACTCTAACGTTCCACCTTTGCTCCATCTCCTTTGATACCCTTACCCAGTTAAGCAACTATTGATTTCTGATTTGAAGTGATTAATTGAGCTGCTATCTGCTGCTCTTTGTGCATCATTAGTGAAAGGCCGGGCACTGATGTTGAAATAATATCTCAGTGTCCCAGCCTTTCATAGCAGCTGCTGTTTATTGACAAGGGTGAACATTTTCACGAGGCTCACGTTTTAAGACTCAGCATATTTTGTCACCTGTGCCATTATCAGTTCTCTGAGAGAAACCTCAGACTGTATGAATCAGCAGGTATCAGGGACATGAACCTTTCTGACCTTAGAAATTGCAGTTAAAGAATTGTTGCCTTCATTGCAATCAGTATTCCCTTCCTTCCTTGCACTCTGCTTCCTCCTTTTCAAGTGCAGATCTCCCCACCCCATGCCATACTTTTCTCTCACCACACATGTTTCACCTCCCGGCTTGCTGTACCCCCACCTCACTTGGACCTCAGCCCTACTCAGGCGGCACAGTGGCTCAGTGGTTAGCTCTGCTGCCTCACAGTGCCAGGGACTCAGGTTCAACTCCACACTAGGGCGACTGTCTGTGTGGAGTTTGCACGTTCTCCCCGTGTCTGCATGGGTTTCCTCCGGTTTCCTCCGAGAGTCCAAAGATGTGCAGGTTAGGTGGATTGACCATGCTAAATGCTGCATAGTGTCTGGGGATGTGCAGGGTGGGTGGGTTAACCATGGGAAATGCAGGGTTAATGGGAAAAGGTGGGAGTGGGTGGGCTACTCTTAGGAGAGTCGGTGTGGACCACATGGCCTGCTTCCACACTGTAGGCATTCTGTGATTCCTGTTTTGGTCTTCACCATCAATTCCTCTGTGTTTTTTTTCCCGTTCTGACCAGTGGCCAATATAGATGCTGTCTCTTTCGTATCTCCCCCACCCACCCTGACCTCTCGAAGCATCTGCTTTCTGCACCTTTCTCAGGAGCTGCCTTTGCCTCTGGAGTATCTTCCATTTTAACCTCTCAGTGTTTCTGTACTTGACCTCCTGTTGGAGGAGTTTGCTTCCTGTCCACAGACCTTGTGTCCTGTTGCTGAATTCCATTGTGCCTTACTGTCAGCATTTCACACTTAATTTCAACACTGACAGCTGTCCCAGTTTATTACTACTACTCAGTGGCTTTGAAAGGGGTTGCTGAAGTCTTACTAGTTTATTTTTAAACATGCTCTTGAGCAGTACAACATACAAGTTACTTTCAAATCAGACGATGCAGTAACTGCGGAGTGATGTTCAGATCTGCTTTGAGGAGCTTGTGCCCTGTACATTACTCTCAGCAATGACTGGCATCATTAACTGATCACAATGGCCCTGTTTCAAGAACAATTTGGATTTATATAGTGTCTTTTACACAATAAAACATCCCAAGGTGCTTCAGCAGACTGTTATAGAAACAGAAGAGAGTAGGCCATTAGGCCCTTTCAAGCCTGTCCATTCAGTATGCTCATGGTTGATTCATTACCTCAATGTCATACTCCCGGTTTCTCCCCATTCTCTTCGATACCTTTAATAGCCAAAAAAACTATCAATCTCTTATCTGACCAAACTTAACGATGAACCACATGAGGGCATTTTGTGACTAGATTGAGAAATCGTGGTCAAATGGATAGGTTCTAAGGCAGATTTCGAAGTGTGAAGAGAGGGGAAAGGTTTGAGCAGAGTGTGAACTATGGCATAAAAACGTCTTTGTTCCATGTTTTGAAATTAATGCAATAATATAAAGGAAAGCAAATTAGAGTCAATCGGAATTGTATCATGATATTTCTTGCTCTGGAAAATTGAGGTCCTTTTCTTTTTATGTGGTTTGTCTGTTAGACGAGTAGATTAAATTTTGAGAGGTTTGCCTGTCACAGGCTGATCATTGTATGAAGCAAAGGGGAATTGCAAACTGTTGAAATGGGAAGTGGCCAATCTGCCTCTTCTTGCACACCGCAATGCTGCCATTTTATCCCTGAAAAGTTATTGGAATTTTGCTCTATTATTCAAGCCCTCTTTCCATGCTGTTGTGCCGTGGATGGACAGAAGCATTCAGTGTTGACAGCTCATTCTAGCTGTCATTCAGTTGGCAAGTGTTAATGGCTCCCCTTCCTTCCCTGTCACTAACCTGATAGCTCAAATCAGTTCTTGGAATGTTTCAGTGTGAACTTGTCTACCTGGTTGATGTGAATGCAAATCTTTCTAACTTCACCATGAAAACTTAGTGTTCTTGTGTGTCATTTCACGTCTGACTATGAAAATGCTTTATCATAGCCTCGGGATGTTTTCACAACTAATCAGT